CTCCTTTGGTATGTACATCTAGACCAGTTCTCGTCCGTATGATATGCTAACGTTTTCATAGAGTAATCTTCTATATGCTCGGTACGGAAATGGTATTGCGACAAATAACTTGTCGAAGATGTTGGCGGGTCTCATGCTTCCTGGACGTCCAATTGGAAATATGTATTTTGCGGCGTGGTCACATAACGTTATTGCCAATACAGTCAATCTTTCCAATGACCTCAAGTTAGGCGAATACCGTAAGCATCCACAACTTTCTATTCACCAACCACGAACTAACTTGTCAATCAGTCAAAATCCCACCTCGTGTCATGTTTCTTACTCAGGTTTATGGTACTATTTTAGGAGGTTTCATCAATTATGTTGTAATGATATCCATCGTGAATGGTAATCGAGAACTTCTCTCCACAGGAAATGGTAATAGTTCATGGAGTGGTGCCACTGTTCAAGCTTTCAACACCAATGCAGCTTCTTGGGCATTGGCAAAACAACTCTATAAATCAGGAGCGAAATACTCAATTGTCCCATTGGGTTTGGTGGTCGGTGCTGCGATTGTTCTTGCTCATCGTGTCATCGTATTTGTAAGTGCTCCCTCCTTTTTTCATCCCACCCTCTAGAAATCACTTACTCATTGAAACTTCAATACAGTTCATTCCGAAGATCCGTGGTTTTGCCCTGACAGAAATCAACATGCCTCAATTCATTCAATACGCTGGATATATTCCCTATAACCAATCTCAAACCTGCGTAATTTTCAGCCAAGTGCTAGCAGGTTTCTTCACCCAATTTTATCTCCGTAATTATCGACCAAATATCTTCAAAAACTATTCGTATTTGATTACTGGAGCTTGGGATGGGGCGAGTTATACTGTGCTTTTCATTCTGAGTTTTGCAGTTTTTGGAGCCGGTGGATTTGCAGCACCATTCCCATCATGGTGGGGGAATAATATTAATGGTAATTATGATCACTGTCCTATTGCGGAGTAGATAGGGTCGAATTTTGAGAGAGTTAGGAAGGGATATTGGCGTTGACTTCTGGAAGACTTCGTTCAATGTCATAGGAGGCTCTTGGGTGGTCTTCGTCATCCCGTACGCGTGAATTTTGATAGATGTTCCATGGGTAACAGAAAATAGACCTCCTTTTAATACAATCATGATGAGAAGATATCCTATAATTCTCGTTGCTCCTTTTTTCATTTGTTCTTTTTGCAAGTTACTATATACAAGTGAATTGATTTCTACAAGTTTCATGTTTTATATCATCACAGTAATACCTAGGTGCCTAGGCGTAAGCATACCGGGTGAGTCACTTGCCGATGCTCGGATATGTCCGGTGATAAGGGGTCCGGATGCGAGTCATGAAAATAGCTGAAACAACCGAACATGACCTCGAAACCAGCGGATCTTAAGGAATGACATCTACTGCGAGACTGATTGTACTTTCTAAAAATTGATATTAATCCATATTCTGATACACAATGCCACTGACAAAATTCATTTTTAGCCACTTGTATAATATATATTTATGCACATCTCAATATCAAGTAAGTGGTTGATGGTACCGCTTTGTTCATCCACATTCCCATAATTTGCGGGGTAGACAAACGCGGGGCGGGAACCTTCCGTGGTTAAACCTGTATACATACTACCTATTAGTAAATATAATGTTACATGTAAAATGTATCATCTCAGACAGTGATAATCCCTTTTAATCCTTTCTCACTTTTTATCTTCACGGATCAATTGAATTGTTGTAATCTCTGTTCTAAATAACAATACGCGCACAAAATGCCCATTTCCTCACGCTGGCATCTCTCTATCCCTCCCATCTCCCTTCCATCGTACCTCTTCACTTCCTCCACTCATCCGCTCCCAGATAAACCGGCATTTATTGACGCTGCATATCCTTCTAAATTCCTTACCCACTCAGATTTCCGACTCTATTCTCAACGTTTAGCTGCTGGATTAATTAAAAATGGATTAAAACCAGGCGATCGAGTATTACTCTTTTCAAGTAATAATCTGTTCTTTCCAGTGATTATCATGGGAATCATTATGGCAGGAGGAATCTTTACAGGTGCAAACCCGGGGTTCGTGGAAAGGGAGCTGGCTTATCAACTAAGCGATTGCGAGGCGAAGTTCCTACTTTGCGGGGTGGAAAGTTTGGAGGTCGGAATCAAGGCAGCTGAGAAAGTGGGCTTGGGGAGGAATAATGTGTTTGTATTTGGTGATGAAGGTAAAGAGATCTATGGGAAAAAAGAGGGGATCAAAGGAATGAAGAGTTGGGGGGAGCTCATGGAGAGTGAAGAGGTAGGGAGAGAGTTTCAATGGAAGGAGGATTTTGATCCCAAGGAAACAGTTTGTTGTTTAAATTATAGTTCCGGAACGACGGGTGTACCCAAGGGTGTAATGATCACGCATTTTAGTAAGTTCCCACATTTCTCAAATCTCCATTCATTTTGAGGAGATGACGGGGAGGTTTGATTGAGAGTTGACGATAATATCATCCAGATTATGTTGCAAACTCGATGCAATATAGACATTTACATGAACTTCATCCTGAAACGCCAGAAAGAAATAAGAGAGCGTAAGTTTCACATTCAAAAGCAATCATTGTTTGCTGACATTCTTTACAAATAGAAAATGGTTATGTTTCCTCCCTTTGTACCATGCAATGGGTCAAACAATTTTCGGAGCTGTGGCACCTAAACGAGGCATTCCGGTTTACATCATGAAGAAATTTGATTTCAAAGATATGTTGGAAGCAGTGCAGAAGTATAGAATTACTTCATTGAATATGGTACCTCCCATCGTTGTTGTTAGTATTCATCAATCACATAGAACGAAGAGCACGGATTATTAACAAACATATGCGTAGATGCTCGTCAAATCGCCGCTCACTAAACAATACGATCTTAGTAGTGTCATTGATATGACCTCCGGTGCTGCACCACTAAGTGGTGAAGTGATAGATGCGGCGGAGAAGCTGTGGCCAAATGGGAATGTCAAACTTACTGTAATTTCTTCCACAAACTTGCTCTTCTCAATCATTCAACGGAAACTAATTATAAAACAAACAGCAAGGATGGGGAATGACTGAAGCAACTTGCTCTCTTCTAGGCAGCGATACTCGACATGATCCTATACCGAACTCCGTAGGTGAACTCAATGCCAATTGTCATGCGAAGATTGTGGATCCGGAGACATTAAAAGAGCTCAAACAGGGTGAACGGGGTGAGATCTGGGTTCAAGCACCTAAGTAAGTTAATTTACATACACTAAACTACCATCTACCTGTTTTTGAATTGATATCCTACATCACTCATAATACATTACACAAAGAATCTAACAAATCAAAGTATAATGAAAGGCTACTGGAACAAACCTTCCGCTACCCAAGATACTCTCATTGACTCTCCATCCGGATTCTGGCTTCGTACGGGAGATATTGCTTACGTCGATTCTCAAAACCATTTCTTCATCGTTGATCGGATGAAAGAACTTATTAAAGTAAAGGGTAATCAAGTGGCTCCTGCAGAATTGGAAGCGCTATTACTAGAACATCCAGAGATTGCGGATGCAGCCGTGATCGGAGTAATGATCGGAGAGGGAGAAGTACCCAGGGCTTATATCGTGAAGAGTGGCGGGAATGGCAACGGACTAAATGCGGGAGAAGTGATGGAATGGGTTAAGAAGAGGACTAGTAGGTTCAAGTGGTTGAAGGGCGGTGTGGAGTTCGTAGAGACAATTCCTAAGAATCCAGTGAGTTGTGATCCCCACTCTTGGACTATCGTCTAAAGAAGTTTCATTAAGTACAAGGACTAACGCAATTTCAGAGCGGGAAAATATTGAGGAAGTTATTGAGAGAGAAAGCGAAGGAGGAGATCAGTGAGTATAATGTTAAAGCTCGACTTTGAGGCTCAGTATCGTCGGGAACAAGATTTTGGTAAATTGATAGACGTAATCTCAAATACGAATCAATACAATCAATTGATAATTGAAGACTGGTTTACATATTCCTGTGCGCACCTTGAAAAGCACTTCGAATAATCGATTGGAGGTATGGGAGTTTCTCAAGCCTTTGGTTCCTCAAACTTTCGTCTCCAAAGCAAATAATCAATACATCTTGTCTATGAACAGGATCACAGGCTTTCGGGAGCTTTGACACACCAAGAATTGTACGAGTTACATATTAAGATAGCTTTCGACGGTCATGCTACGATGAAGTCTAATTGTACAAGTGTTTGGGAAAATCGCTATCATGATAGATATCATTCAATAGCCATGATTTTGTGTGAATAGTTTGTTAAAAAAAAATATATATATCTTCATGATTGCTATATTGATGAATGAATTGAGCCATCCCACTTATCGTTTCAAGCACCGGAAAAGTCTCGGGTAACCCCTCTTCCCCGTGGGGTACGAACCAGCCCCCACGTTTTCGGCTTACACGTAGTATGACGTGAAAGAAACTCCACTACCCCTTCATTCGTCAGTTTCTTTCCACCAAACGAAAATTTCCCTAGAAGTGTATCACGCGGACAAGACTATTCAGGAAATCCGCTCCAGAATCCTAGTCGAAACATGCTTCGAATCCCGGGGTTTTTCCACAATGGTCTTATTTCACGCATGCTTTTCTACTGCAATACCCCGCGAATAGTGGACGTATACGCTCTAATTTGTGAGTTAGCGGGTTGAATCTGCTACATCCCAGATCTTTCGTGGTACGAGTAATAGCGTGGGGGTGGATTGAAAAGCGGGATTGAGTGACGGCAATGACTGGTTACATTGCATGATAAAAGATTGATCCACTTGTTGTTTATACAAGGAGAGGTGGAAGAATGAAGTAAATTCAATTTTCCCTCTCGTCGGTTGATTGTTTCTGATCTCTGTGTTTCTCTTAATTAGCAATTCTTTTTTATATTGTTCTCTACTCCAGAAAGACATCTTGGACCAATTATTTTTGGAATATCCCATGAGAAATCGAAACAATTGCCACGATGTCCGCATCTCACACCCTTGGATCAAGCATCGATTCACACAATATCATTGAAACATCAAATTCACCAAAACCTTCTCGTTATCGTCAATTCATTGATGATCTATCCCTAAACCGCAATGCATATTTTCTCACAGTAGTCGCCTCATTTGGCGGTATGTTTTTCGGTTGGGATACCGGACTTATCGGTGGTATACTCACGATGTCCTCGTTCCAAGATTCCTTTGGACTCAACAAAGACTCCTCAAATTACACTAATGTTTCGGGAAATATTGTTTCTGTCCTACAGGGAGGATGTTTTTTTGGTGCTATGTCGAGTTTTTATATTAGTGATGTTTTTGGGAGAAAAAAGGCATTGTTTGTAGCCGATATCATCTTCTTGATTGGATCTCTCATTCAGACTACCAGTGGAATTGGAACGACGAGTTTGGGTCAACTTTATGCTGGAAGATTTATTGGGGGCTTTGGGGTTGGATTGGTGAGTGCGGTTGTACCGACTTACATTGGAGAAAATGCTAGCAAGGAGATTAGAGGGAGGTGCGTGGGGTGCATGCAGTTATTCAATGTGTAAGTGACTAATCCCCCTCATTTTGGAGAGACCATACTAACAAATCATAGAACTGGTATAATGCTCGCCTACTTTATAAATTATGGCATGAATAAAAACGTAGCGGGCGACAATCCACTTAAATGGCGGATTCCTTTCGCTTTACAAATGCTTCCCGGTGTCTTTCTCGGTCTCGGACTCTTTTTCCAAAATGAAAGTCCTCGATGGCTCGTCGAAAAAGACCAACACGAAAAGGCCCTTCACGCACTTTCTCGCGTCCGTCGTCGTTCTCCTACCGATCCACTGATTCAACGCGAATACAATGAAATTATTGCAGACTTTCACGGAAAAGAGAAATTAACTCTCCTTCGACAAATGAAACTCACGATTTCCAACAAATCTTCGTTCTATGCTGTTTCTTTAAGTGCGATCCTCATGTTTTGGCAGCAATGGACCGGAACAAACAGTATCAATTATTATTCTCCACAAATATTCGAGACAGTTGGTCTGAAAGGTACATCTGCGGGACTTTTTGCAACAGGAATTTACGGTGTGGTAAAGGTTTGCATTACTGCACTAGGACTCATGTTTGCGACAGAGCAAGTAGGAAGAAAGTGGTGTTTGATTGTAGGAGGATTGGGACAAGCATTTGCTATGTTCTATATTGGTATAAACCAAGCTGTCAATCCTCCAGTTGACGGAGCACCCTTGGACGGAAACTCCATTTTCGCAATTATCTGCGTCTATCTCTTTGTGGTATTTTATTCCTTCGGCTGGGGTCCCATCCCATTTGTTCTCAGTTCTGAATGTTCTCCCAACCATCTACGAAGTTTTAGTATGGCACTTGCTATTGCAGTTCAATGGTTATTCAATTTTGTCATCTCGAAGATCACACCGTTTATGCTAAGTGGGATTACTTATGGAACGTTCTTGCTTTTTGGCGGATGTTGCATATTGATGACGATTTATGCGGTGATTTGTGTGCCGGAAACGAAGAACGTTCCACTAGAGAGAATTCATACGCTTTTTGAAGGAGAGATTATCAAAGGGGCATGTAAGGATACGATACCTCGATTGAGAAGATCTAATATGTTGAGGGAGATGAGGAGGGACGGAGAAGACGATGATTTGGGCAAGGGAGATGATAATGGGATGAGCGTACATGTTGAGAGGGTGGGTGGAAGGGTTTAGAAGAGAAATGAGATATATTAAATGATGAGAACAGGCTTGGGTATAAAGTATATATGAGAACATTGAATGAAAATAAATGTGTTCTTAAAAAAAAAGGAAGGTCCGGTTTTTCAGTGTGAACTTTACCCTCTCGGAAGGTCCATACCAGTTCTCCATATCTCCAAAATGAAACACGATGTATGATTCTTTTTCAAAATATATCTTGCAGAGCTAATCTTAGCATCTTGTGCTATGTTATGGAAGCGATGTAGGTCGTCTATACTCATCCGATACATCATTGCAGTCCGCGAAGATGATTCACAGACAAAAGTATCATTCTAACAACCTCATAGATACGCACTCAATCCTGGATAATAATACTTGCCCATGCAGCTCAAGTAATGAGACAATTAAAATAGAATTACTCAATATTAAAATGGGTATATCCTTGAACTAGAAGCTGTTCGTTCACTAGTCGTTTTCCAGACTGCGAACTGCGAAAGATCTGTCGAGAATCAACTAAAGACGATATGTCTTCTATATTGCCAATTCTCGAAGAACCCATTGAGTTTCCACAAAGAGCTCCTTTAAGGTTTCCTCCCATACACCAGAACCCTTATAGAACATGTTAGCTTATCGTTCCCATTCAGTAAAAGGGAAGAAATATAGCAGTAGGCTATTACGTACCCTTCCGAATAGCAATGTATCTTAGTGTTTTCAATATCTGCTCTCACACCTATCAAAAGCTCATTTACCTCTTCTTTTTCCATTCCCAAGACTCTCGTGAAAAGAGCCATACTCAATCCTTCCAGGCCCATCAAAATGTTTCTCTGCACCCATACGCTCAAGACCTTATTTCTTTGACCTTTTGCCCATGGACTCATTGGTGCATATTCCTTTCTCTCCACAATATCAACAAAACCAGTTTCTTCCATCCACTTCTTATAATGTGCTCCATTTGTCCAAGGACGCCCAGCTTTCGTAGAAGCTTCTACTATCATATTATTCCATTTTACTAATGCACAATCCTCCGGTGGTGGCGATGCATATTTGAAAGGAAAGATCGGATCTCGAAGTTCAAGGTATCCTCCCGGTGCCAGAGCCTGAAATGCTGATGCAATGACAGTTTTCGGAGAACGAAAGCAGGATAGCAAGGCGCGGCCATGAATCAAGTCAAATTTTAAATCGTCAAATTTCCATGGATCTTCAGCGTCTTCAATTCGGAATGAGCAATTCGTGGGTATACTAGTTCCGGGTAAATATCTTCGGAGAATTAAAATCTGAGGAATTTTGATACCTACTAATGCGGCTGTATGGGGCTAAGATCAGTACCAATCACCGTTGACTTGGGGTATTCATCTGCTACGCATTGTTAGAGATGTTGTTAGAGATGTCGCATCTAAAGATCCAAGAAGTTACCAAATTCAACTGCCCAAATACCGGTTCCAGTGGCAACGTCTAACACATTTATTGGACGATCCGTGTTGATTGGCGACACAAATAACTTTCCGTCGATGGTCATTCGTAGAAATCTGTGTTGAAACTCTACGCAATCATCAGAACAAGCCATCTCAGCCATGAATGATACGTGAACACATACCAAGTCTATTTTGTTCTAGCTGAGTGTCGCAAATTCTATCAGCCAATGCTATTTCCACAAAATATGACCAGAACGTACTGCATCATTCGGTAGCGGATATTCTGTCCCATCAAACATTAGTTGCCGCCGACAGAAATATACTTTCATCGGTAACCACTTACGACCATGTTTATAACGATGATATGTTCTTCCATTTTCTTCAATATGACGATAAAACTCCGATTCGACTGTGAAGTTGGAACTCCTTATGTATCGTTAAATTCAGTTTAAATCTTTGATATCACAGTTTTTTACCTCAAACTCATTCCACCAAGAGCAGAATCTGCATCATTTTCTGACTGAAATTGATCAATTCTTGTGCCCGAGCATTAGCTGAAAGATAACTCACATCTAACTCTGGTTCTCCTGCATCTACATATGAACCCAACTCCTCAACTAGATACGAATTAGGGGAAGGAACCTTTGGCTCATTATCTACCTCCATGATATGATTTTGAACGAGTTACTTTTTGGTGAAGACCAATCGAAGATTTCTAGAATTTCCAAAAACAATGATAGATCAACTGTCAAATAAATCGGCACTTTTCAACTCCACTAGTATTTCCACTGGACCCACTAATCGGAATGTGGATTCAACTTCCGGATGGAGACATAAGACACCTTACCATATTCAACGATAAGCGGGATGAATGAAATAAGTTTCACACACAGGATATTTTACAGGTAATTTCCTGCTGTATGTTTGGTCATCATATGCTTCAGCGTTCCAGTTTGAATCTAATGACAACCAAGTAATGTACTTTCACCGTTCCAAGTCAGATTGGATAATGAATTAGCATGTTTTTAGAAATTCAATTTGGCACGGGCCGCATTTCATCCACATACAGTCATGGTATCTCGGGTATTAAATAAGTCAAGTGCAGAGGATCTGGATGGATACAAATTCGCTGCCTAGAAGGACGAAAATGATATGTGTTTGGTTTTAATTAGTGGATGTATACCGAGGAGATGGTTTGTAGGTGGGGATGACTCAGGGGTTATTTGTGGCACGAGCCAATGAGAATCAAAACATTTTCACGAGCTGATGAGCTGACGTTTCCATTATGTTGGTTTTGTATGTATGGAGTGGGGTTGTTATCGATATTCCAGAAATGGGATTAATAACTATTTGGGAAAGATGCGATTTTATGGATCGAAAAATTCCATACTCTGATTTTAGATTGGTCCAGAAACTAGAGGGGTTGCGCGCGTGAGGAGTGTCCTGGCATGTTTGTAGCATCACGATTCATTCATGGTATTTCCATGTATCTGTTTGCGATCTAGATGAAGTATGAATGGTTGCGTCATTCATTACATTCTGCTTTTCTATTGAAAATCCATGCAGTCTCTGCGCAAAACGCCTTGCATAAAGGCTTCACATAATGGCCACGACCTGCGCAACCGTGGGTACCCTCAAGCTCAAATAACACCAAAACCGATTTAATAGAACGGTATGCCGGCGTACCTGTTTCCCTAGAAGCCAGATAAGTTAGTTCGTCTCCTTGAAGAGATGGGAAATGTTTGTGAAGGTTTGAAGGGTGACGAAGATGCAATTTAGAAGTAATGCCACGGTTAAAATGTAGAACCAAACACCAAAATTTACTTACCAAAATTGTCTCGCAATTATCAAATGATTGCCAACCAATGATTCGACCGTCCGACACTTTCGAGGTTATAGTTGGAAGAAGAAACCAGTTCCTGTACCAGACGGAGGAAGGGTAATTACTCTCAGCATCATTGGTTATTCGTACTGATATGTTGTGTACTAATGGTGTTTGTCGAGTATCAATTTTGGTGTCAATGTTGTAGCTTAAACCAAGCTGGACCAATAGTTTTGCATTGGCATCGAGATTTCTATCGCAGACGTAAAAGTTGAAAGCTTCGATATCTTGAAGTATCTCGTATACGTAGGTGCATGAGTTCACAGGCGGTGGTACAGTACCATACCAGCAAAGTACATCTTTCGTGGAAAGATCACGAACGACAATCTTGGTTGACTTGACACCACTGGCAGATGTAGTGAGTGCGCCAGAGTGGTAAGGGTGTGGAGCAGAGCTGCTGTTGAAGATAAAGAGGCAAATAAATAAAAATAATGTCTGGAAAAGCATTGTGATATTATTTGATAATAGGAGGGCAACGTGATTCCGACTTGTGGCCTGTGAAATATTTCGTTATGGGCGGATTTGATATGAGCTCGGTATTGTGGTATGGATATTTTTGGAGTATATCAATATGGGAAGCCAGTGCGGGAATTCTCAAGGTATAGGAACTTAGTGAAGAACATTGGCGGTCGATTCACTACAGTCATATGAAGGATGCTAATACTACACTAGTGAGTCATATCAAAATGTCACCACATTCCGGGAAATTCACCATAAGTTGGACAAAATATCACAAACAATATACAGAAGATTGCATTGCGTCATAGGCCAAATGAGCCAAACAGCTTCTGCGATAGATAATGGTATGGAACTAGACTTGTAAGAATGCTCCGGTCAAGGAATGCCAACATTAAACCTCTCGCCCGTACAAACTCCCAAGATAAAAAAAGCTTGTCATCCACCAAAAAGCTGGACCATCTCATAACTTCCAACTAACAACAACCATCTACAAGGCACAAGATCTCAAATCCAAGTCCGACAATTATCGAGTCTGTGTTTGGGATTATGAGACCAAAACGATGCTGGTTGTCAAGTATAGTCTCTAATAGACTTGGGAAAGGTCCTCATCTTCAGCACGTTTGTATACTTGAGAGAGATCTTCATCATCAGCTCTGCGATAAACTTGTGAAAGATCCTCGTCTGTGCTTGCATCAGCGCGTCGGTAAACCTGGGAAAGGTCCTCATCCTCTGCTCTCTTATAGACCTGGGAAAGATCCTGATCAGTTGTACCAGTCTTTGCGGTATCACGTCTGTAAACTTGGGAAAGATCCTCATCCTTAGCACGACGATAGACTTGAGATAAATCCTCATCAGTTGATTTAGTTTGCGCTACAGCACGCTTGTACACTTGAGATAGATCTTCATCTTCGGCACGTCGATATACCTGCGAAAGGTCTTGACCACTGGTACCAGTCCCTCTTTTATAGACTTGAGAGAGGTCCTCGTCTGTAGCTTCGATAGCGCGTACTATTTGACAGTCGTATTAGTAACAGAAAGACCTAGAGATGATTGAATATCGCATTTACCGGACTTGAAAGACTTTGCTGTGGGGGCAGCTGTAGCAACAGCCAAGAATGGAAGAAGAGCAATGAGCTTGTTGATGGCAACCATATTGATGATTTGAGGAATAAGTTCTTAATGTGACGAGGAAGAATGGCAAAGTTTGACGGAAGTCTAGATGGAAAATGTGTTTGAGTTAATGAAGTGATGAGATAGATGGAACTGAGGTATACTGTTATACTTATAGCTGAGAACCCCAGGACACTTATCCAGATAGGAAGGTCGAGGTGATTCGAGTGTTCGGCATGAGCAGATATATTGATGTGACATCTAGTTAGATGAACACTTAATAAGCTCATTGCGTTTAATGATATATTGTTCCTAACCAGCGAATTTAATCCTCCTATCAATCTATCTTCCAATTTGTGCCTGATCTGATACGCAACTACCACTTCGATTCGTCCTCGGACATTCCTAGATCGAGAGGCAGGTCATTGGACCTTTCAATGGACAGAAAAGGAGAAGCCAAATCAGGTTTAAAATCTTACCACATAAGGATGAGCTGGTAGACTGATATTGGTTAAAATTCATCGGCCAGCAGAAGCAAGGCAAGATAATCCTGTCCCGAGAGAAGATGCTTGGTAGAGCGCCACCAAGGCAAAGGAACACCTCGGCGCTATAGCATGGCGTGAGAAAGTATTGATATTGTTTGCTTATTCCCATGATCGACCATAACCATCTGGTGATCAGATGGACCGTACACTCCACACGGGGAGAAAATCACTCACTTCACAGTAGAAGATCTGGCAAGGCAATACTTCTAGATTCATCTTTCATTGGAAAATGACGTACTTGAGATCGCCCAAAGGCAATGAGATTTGTTTATGTATTTTGATCCGTCTGCTGTTTTCCGATTTGTCGCTGTTAGGGGGAGGGATGAAAGTGGCGCTTGTAAGTGCAGGAGAGAATTGCTGTAGCGTTAAGCTTACTTTCATTTGAGATGAAAGACAACTACAATGGCTCTATGGATACAACCAATACTTGAAAACATTATGGATGCCATATCATATCAATGCAGGACGATGTATCCTCGAGCATGAGTGGTAGATACTTCTCCACTCATTTCAAACCCCTGAGATTATTAAACCCCGAGGTCCAAACATCCTGAGAACGACACTGTGATGATACCATTGTCATTGCCTGGTATCTTAGCTTCCATATTTCTCCTTCGGTGAGTTTAAGGCTTGAATCCAAATAGGAAGGTCTGTCGATGCATTAGATGTCATTGATTATGACGATACCATGTTTCCAATATAAATGACTTCGTATAAAGAAGATCAATCACCACAAAGTAAACTGTAATGTAACGATAATGCTTGTTCAATGACCAAAGTGATGTTTCTTTTGATGCAATAGGTTGCTTTCTAACAAGGACAATTCTGTACAGTCACCTTACAGCGCTTGCTTGGTGGCGGCAATTACACCATTCGTCTGTCGGCTATGTCATGATCCGATTTCGCTTCCATGTCTTCTAGCTCTACAACCCCGCATAATTGTTATCGTTTGAGCATGTCAGCAATACATTGCTTAGTAGAGACAACCATTATTTGCAAGGTGTCGAAATAAGGTTGGTAAGAATTAGTAAACCCTGTTGAATAGGTAGGTAAAGTACGCCACCCGCTCTCCACGTTTCACTAAAAACTAGTCTATCGATGTCAATTGGAGGTATCAGGTCATGCCTATCCTATTCCAGCGCCATAGGCTATTCAGAAGGTAGCAGTCTGGGTATGGCGGTATGCGGAGCTTTAACCGGTGTCATCAAGTGCGGCTCGTGCAAGTTCGTTTCGGCAATTTCCTGCAGCTTATTGTTGATGACATATCACTACTTCCACAACCATTTCACGACAAGGGGGAGATTTACTTGTGAGTCGGGGGTCGAATTGCTGATATTTCCGCTATGGGGTGATAATACTACTTGATAAATTGTTGAATCGTTCAATTGATAATCATATGATGAACAATGGAAACTTTCCTATGATCGTCTTGCATCATATTATTGTGATAAGAAGTCAAAATGTCATGTAATCAAGCTGCATATCGATCAACAACATTCCTACACAAGTTTAGAACTCCTCCCCTGCGATGAAAATGCTTCAATCATCTTTTTATCATTCCTACTTTGTTTCTTCACATCCTACAACCATTCAAACATAACAAATTGAGCAATTTACTATGATGGAGACACTGTATAAGAAAATTCGTTCAGCAAAAACTTCGCTTTCCACTCAGAGACCTCTCTACACAGACGAATCTTCCAATGACGACCTCTCCAAATCATCTGAAGAACTACTTGAATCTAGAGACAATGAGAATTTAGACTACGATCTTAGACCACGAAATGAGAAGCGAAGAAGTTTGATGTGGGGAGTTGTAGTTCATTCTTTTATATTCGCGACGTATACCATTGGACTTTTTGCAGCGACCACTTTCGTTAGACATAGATCTGGGCCACCTACACTTGTATATAGTAAGTGAAATCATCCGAAATATCTTTGGACCCAGAAATGTTAATTTGGCGAAATAGCACCAGCAGCGGAAGCTTTGGATTATGAGAAGATCTTTTATAATGGAACTCTTTTTGCAAGTAGTCTCTATAAGGGGGATCCTCGTCCGGTGTGTGAGCTTATTTGGTTATTACATCCTTGTTTTAGCAACTAAGTAGTACAAACTAACTGACTTCTTAGGAACTCGATCTTGCGTGGCATAATTTAGTCAAAAACAATAATCTCCGGATTAGCAAAGAAGAGCTCGACACACTTGGTAGGACTGCACTTCCTCTTGCTGATGGCTCTGGATACTATGGACAATTGAATGTTTATCATCACTTACATTGCTTGGTAAGACATTCCAAAATTCAGCTCCTCATGGGTACGGAATCACGGATGACGTTAACTTTGGCAGAAATTTATGAGGGAGGCATTCTACGCCGAATATTATCCTGATGCTCAAGGGCCAACAACAAAAATGCACGTTGGTGAGTTTATCACGAGAGACTTGTCTTCAATTGATGATGAGACTAATCTGCGGATAGATCATTGCATTGACGATATCCGACAAGCATTAATGTGTCACGCCGATACCTCCATCACAACATTTGAATGGGAAGAAGGTATAAGAAGACCTATGCCAGATTTCACGGGGTACGAGTCTTTCCTCATTAATATTACCATTGATCTTCTCTCGTTTCCATGAAGTTCGATAGCAGGACTAACAAAAACAGTTGGCACACGTGTAATAATTGGGAGAAGCTGGATGACTGGGCCACTGCTCGTGCATTTTCAATGTTCGATCAGGTCTCTTTGATCAATCCTACTTATGGTGAGCTTCTTTTTTTTGATTCCACTTGGACGATTTAAACGATTTGAACGTTCAAGAGCTATGAGTTGTGAGTCTAATGATTTATGGATAGGTATCGCTTTTCCAATGATTAATGGAGAAATCGATTATACTCCGCCTAGTCAGGAGGGCTTCCGTGCTATTTGGCCTGAAGATTCGGGAGGTCACGTTCATGGTTGATCATCCAATTTAAGATTGCCAGGAAGGACAAGAAGTGTTTTGATTGAGTTCATTGTGTATTTGCTTTTCGAATTCATTAATCACGACTTCGCATCTAGTTATAAATTGGTAGAGATCACAATCAAAATGCTTTGTATAACTCAGCTAAAGACACTTCTACTAGAAACGAAAGATTTGAAAAGCAACGAGTTTGACTCTTATGGTAGACGGCCATTAGATAATTCTAGATCATCTTGATCCACCCTAGATCCCTACACTACGATATAGCTCCCGGATGACTATGAATAACACCAACATCGAGATCAGACAATTTATCTCATGTGACAATCAAAAGGTGCAATATGAATTGTCCTTGCATCAGCACGAGCCGGAGGATGCCAGGATAATTCCTTTCCATCTGCCGTCATCTTAGGCATACCATTCACGACTCTTTGTATCGTAAGCTTTGTAACCGGATCTGTTCGTCTGGAATCCGTTTCGATATCTGCAAGAGTGGATCCTATGTCTAGATTTCTTGCACCACCGAGTGCATCATCGCAATTGTTATCGGTAATTTGGATGCTGATTGGATGAGGTTTCGTTGAATCGATGATGTATGCAATAGTGCATGTTCCGGGATGTTCTGTGGGGCACCATCTGTAGCCTTCTTGCCTAGGAATGAGAGCTGGAGGTTGGAAAGAGGGGTAAGCCTCTGGAAGGACGAGGCCGACGATAATTTGGAACATGCTAGTTAGGAGACCCGTGAATGCGATGGTGTTATGGCTATACATAGTAATTTATGCTTGATGGATGTGCGATTCGAATTACTGGCTTCGAGAACTGTGGAAGAAATGTGAAAGTTTTGAGGATGTGTTGATTCTTTTGGGTGTTAGAATGTGAGTTGATCTAGGGGCAAAATCTAAGTCTATAAGAAGCACTAAACATAATTTTCTAGTAATGATTCACATATTCGCATCGGAGTCATGGTGATAATGTATCAAATTATTATTACTCGCTACTTAGTTGACCATTTTCTGGGTAGCAAATGACAGTGATGTTCTCTCCCAAGAATAGAATTACTAAATATATACCCATATATCTTGAGAACTTACTCTTCCGTGGCTTTTTATCTCAAGAGAAAAATTTCCACCAACGTGGGGGATATTTGGTTCAGATTGGAGGACTTTGGAATAGTGCAGGAGTTCATAGAGAATGTATAGGGGTCGTTAAACCAATCAGTGCCGTACTCTTGAGATAGAAAACAAAGATTACACAATACATGACAAATGATGATAAATATTGGAGACCTAGAGGATCTGCATATATGGGTCATGTGATGTAAAGCAACGATATTATTATCTCCAAACCTGCCATCAATGAAACACAATTGAATCTGCTTTCCTGCGTCGCATTTCCTCGAAAATTTCTTTGGATATCTAGAGCTAGCACAGATACCTACAATGATACCACAAATTACCATACAAGACAATATAAATCATCGGTATGGTTCTGATCGCATCGCACCTTCAGAAATCAATTCTTGCAAGGATAGCTAGCAACCCATATCAAACGATTACTAGCATCTGCCCAGTCCTTGGCTACAATAGTTGTATTCGTAACGGGCAATTGGTGACCTTCGATGCTGATAACTGGAGCGTGTACTCGTCCTTTCAGATCTCCGTACTTGTCGATACTTAGTTTGATATTGTTGTAACCTGGTTTCGTGTTCCCTATGAAGGTTATGAATTCAAAGGCCTGATTGAGACCATAGTATTGTGTTGATTTCTCATGGTTAAACTTTTCCAGAAGAGCATCACCATCGCATGGGAAAGCAAATGTGCCCACTTCAATGGGGGTGTTGTCTTTTTTCCCAGCATTGGTGATACCATACGCGACCATGCAGGCACTCGGCTTCTTGGCCGAATTCAAGCAGAACTCGGAATTTTTAACATCGGTGTTAAACCTGGAATTACCACGTGAAAGAAGTAACATCCTCTCATTCGTTCTCGAGGAGGTTTCGAGTCGATCGATGACAGAAGCAAATGAGAGGTGCAGAACGCAAAGAATTGCAATAGCTGATGTGGAATATGAGAAACACATGTTAAAGTTCAGGTGGACGAATTATTGATGAAGTGCTTGATGTGATTAACTCAAAAAGCGTGGGTGTTGATATCTGTAGAGGTTCAAGTTGCTGAATTTGCTGTTTGATGTGGGAATTTTTGTAGCTCAGTTGAACTATTTATCGATCTTTGTTCTCTGGAGAATTGAGGAGAAAGTATGTGAGAGTAAAAGAAGGCTGGGGAATTGAAGCTATTAACAGGAAATCTTGGGTGTGATGAGATTTAGGCACTTGTGACTCGACCTCTCAATGATTCGAAATCGCAATTTCCTGGCGATTACTCAAATCACTGTGTACATGATGACTAAATCTTTCAGATTGTTTTCCTTGCGCTCTCACGGATTTGCAGTCATATAATCTTTTTGTGACTCTTTGTTCGAAAGAATCATGTCATGATATAAGTTCTATATGTCGACCCACAGATAAATCCACAAAAAATATCTCCCAAGATTGAATGATGGCATAGTTTTGAAAGGACTGGAATGAATTGGGAAGAAAAGCGGTGGATGACAAGTAGTATAATCGGTGAGATATAAAACGTGTATGTTGCGAGTGTGGATAGTGACAAAATGGCATCAGGCGGTCGTAGAAGCAATATTGATCAGAGAAACAGGAAGAATGGTTGTAGCGAGGTAAAGAGACTATAGTGAAATTCTGTGAGTTGGTGAGATTTGAGTGAATCCTCAATTTTAGCTGATGAATCGGCGATTGATCTTAGCAAATCCAAATCCATCTATGTCAAAACACTAACTCTGCAAAGAATGCAGAAAACGGCAGCCCATTGTCTCAACAAGTCAACAGAATACGACCGTGTGAAAAGTCTGTAAACATTTCAAATAAAACAGTTGACCGAGTGATGTTCTTTCCTAATGTTCTCGAATCAGCCGTATAACTTGCTCTGAGATTTTTAACAGGGTGTCAGATATTGTACTGTTTCATGGAACAAGAGTGTGAATGCTGCGTCTTTTGTTTGTTAGTGAGGAAAGCCGTATGTAGGATTTTCGCATTAAACACAAATAGTGCTCTTCCATCAATATGCAGACCTTTGTAGACTTTTCAATCAAGATACTGAAGTGGAAATGTGAATTGTTTTCCCAACCTATACAATTTCTATGATGCAAGTGAGTGGCATTATGACAATCTCTTGCTTGAGCTAACAATAAGTTCTAGAACTCCACAGCATTGTGCAAACGATCATACTCTGGATCATTTCTTCTGCATGCTAGTGATCCGTACTTTTCATATGAACAGTTTCGCCAAATATCGAAAATTAAAAGGATTCAAGGCACACGATGCACTTCATTTTGAGATGCCCCTCAACTGCGAAGGTCATGGGCAAATCCGTCATTCAGTCATTACTTTGTAGGAAAGGTTGTGCAATTGTGAATGTTAAAACTTGTGGCAAGTCTGCGGATGCCAAGTAATCCTCCTAGACTGAACACATTTAGACGAAGTAGGCTGACATTGAATGGAAAAAGAACCAGAAGTAGCTTGTTGTTACTACTAGACATCATAGCGAAAGTTTTCAGCTGCCACTCCCTCGGGATTCGACTTCCAACCCCACACAAACGAGCAAATGGAGCGTCAATGGAAATGGCAAATTCACAACCACTTGGTGTATGCACTGAGGGCCTTAATCGATCTCGATCCATCCAAAACAAGATATTCGAATGAATAAGCATGGTTTGCAATGATATCTCAAGCAGTGTCATGTAGGTGGAAGAGGAGTTGCTTGCTGGGCAAGCGATAGGAATGAGAAAAAATATTGGTGACTCAGCACAAGCTATGGCTTATCTTATCAACAGCTCGTGTTCAATACACTCAATGCGAATAAAGTCCAGGCTTGCCATCAATATTTGTAACGATAGGATAGACAGCTCATTAACTCAATCCGCCTTTAATTCCGTGGGTCTTTCACGGAATTTTCGATCTTGTTGTGTACTACTCACGAACAGTACCTCTGCTGAAGGTCTTTCGAAGAATTTAACACGAACTACCAGTTTTTAGCCACCCAAACACATCACTCATAGCCTTTTGATTCCGACTAAGAGATACATAAAGCAACAATGGAAACAATACATGATGTCGCTGGATAAAGTGTTCGCCGAATTAAAAATAACAGTAAGGTGGAGGGAAGGAATTGGCAGTGGTGTGCCATATACCCGCAACTTGGAAGCGTCGAAGTTGAAGTCGAGGCCAAGTGTCGTTCGGGGGAAACAGGTAGGAGAAGAAGTGAGATGGGGTTCGAAGAGAGGATGTAAGACAATATTTGTAGAAAGATATGTGTGCCTAGTGGTTACTAAACTTGCAGGCTTCCATAGCAGTAAAGCGTCATCTTTTGAAATCAATCAAGCGTATGTCGTTGAGGTGTAGGATAACATCCTAATCTCATTCATAGCCCTCGGTCATTGCTGGACGTGGAATCTTATCGTTCTCACCATGATACTGCTATGAATGCACTAATCTAGTCATCACTTTATAGAGACTTTAGGCAAGGGAAGACAACCATGGTAATGAATCAGAGAAATCAGGCATATTGTCGGAGATAATTTACGGAGCGTTGGTCAACAGAAAGCGGCAAGACGAGTGGTGGCCCCTGAAATGATGAAGATTTTTGCGATCTGTTTCATCCACTTCATTTTTTGGTTTGGTGGAAGTCCGACCACTGCAAACTTTTGTCGTATGTGGGTATCTCAAAATGCTTTAGCTCCTTCAACTTTGGTTTCCTGCGTCCTCTGTTTCCTAAGTCTCTGCATGCGCCATATCTACGTTATGATGGCAGATCTAAGTGCGAATTTCCATCTTGATAAAGCTGTCGATCGTAATCGCACTGGGCTTGATGGGGCTCAATTGTTGAATATTACCAAGATGTAGGTTCGGGGTGCAAGCATTTAAGTTGAGAATTTTTTGAGTTATTTAGAATCAAGAGTTCACCTGAAATCTTACCTCCGACAGCAGAAGTCGAGCCGATGTCCGAAGTGCGGTCTAGGTGGCTCTATAGGTGTATACTTTGAAGCTTGAGATCTCACTCTGGAGAGGAGATGTTCTTGCGTGCTCGGCAAAGTTGACAACACGCCACGGAGTAGTTCTTATTGAAGCTCAGTTGAACAATTTCTCCAAAGGGATTGAGTCTTATGGATGAAATTCGAAGACTATTTAACAGTATATATAGAAGTAAGAGAAGACTGAATGAGAATCGCTTTGTCTGCCCCAGTTCTGTCTATGCTGAAAGCTCTTGACCAAAAGGTGGATCGGGCATGCATGAATATGGATATTAAAGAATAATTTGATGGTACTTGCCATACATTTCCGTACTGTTCGTTTTCGTGAGCTCGAAAAGGCGTGCTTCATCAAAGAACTTTTCATCATCACTGTACCCTGGTTTGGGACTCCAGGCTATTGCCGGTTCACGATATTATCTCAATTATCAGTAGGCATCTTTTTCTGTCATTTGATGATTTGTTAACATTTGCTAAGAATACAGACCCGCAAGATTAACGCGAAAGCATTATAAACTCAAATTCTTCACAAGTAGCCTTTTCTTAACCCCAAGCTGTCGATATCACACATAAAAATATCAGGATACTCTGCAGTTCTTTAGGCATCACCAAGTGAAACACTTTCAGAAGTCAGAAATAAAAAACACAAAAAGTCACCTCAAAAGCGTCGGATCAGATCTTGTTTTTCATTCATCCAAGATCCATCGTGCATCATGATTATCTACACCATCCCCACCTCAATTATCCTTGCCTGTGGAAGTCCTCAAATTCATCGATATACTCGTAGTCATTGACGGCATGCTTTCTGGTATGTGCATCCACATCACTAGTTACTGGAAATTGAGCTTGGGCATTGCAGCATTGGATCAATCAAGCTGTCAGGACTTTCTTGCAATCCTCAGAGTGGGTCTTGGGGATAAACATGACCGGTAGACCTAAAGGCTTGCGCATTCTGTTCAGCTAAATATGATGAGATGTCATTACTAACATGAGCCATTGATGAGCGTGCAGGATACTTGCTGGGCTGATTTCGGGACATTCCGGCTCCAAAAATTGGTGCAGTTGGTCGTTGCAGAGATTGAAGCTGAGGCTGGAGGTTTCCGGAAGCATCCCCTTGCTGATTATATCGTGGAGGTGGCACAATGATTCTGATGTTCCTAGCTTCAGTACTACTTCTCATTTGACTAGGGAACTCTCCCGTACGCTGGTTGTGGTTGAATCGAGCTTGGAATAGGTCTGCTGGGCCTGCTTGTTCGGCTCTATGATAATTTCCAGGGATTATCGAAGGAATTTGACCGCCAGATCGAGGCATCGAATTGGCATCTGCGCTCTGAATAACTCCCGGGTTCATTCCACCAGCTCCCGACATCGAGCCAACATATCCATGGTTGATCATTGCGGGGTATGTTGCGCCATTTCCAGACATTGTGCTGGTGTAATTATTATTCGTGTAGTTATTAGTATAGTTATGGTTGACGAAATGATTTCCAGTATAACTAATGTTAGGCATTCCATGGGTAGTGCTACTCGTTAGTGGCGGATTTTCAAAGTTGTCTCTTTCCTGTAGCCTCGATTTCTTCAACTCTGGTTGTGGAAGCTCCGTCTCCGACGTGCCGCGTCCCTTTCTCTTTCCTCGAAGCTTTGGTTTCTCAGAGAAGAGATCCCGGCCCGACTTACCCTGAGCAAGACGGCGACTAGAGTATGAGAATTAGTACATATTTAGCGATAGGGTACAAGATAACAAAGCGAAGAATTACTCATTCAGCCTATCCTTCTCCCACACCTCGATGTGAATACCCCCCTTAAATGGCTTCTGCTGCTTGGGTCGAGGCCTAGGTATCCCCGCCTTCTCAAGTGCTTCGGCATCTGCCTCTTCCTTCAATCTTTCCTCAGCGGCCTTTCTTCTTTGTGTTTCAAAGACCTCACGCGGTCCTTCATTCGGTCGTAGCCACTGAAACTCTTCCTCAGTCATTCGAACTCTGGGCCTAGTGGCGTCGGGTCGCGTCTCCCAGCCGGCTCGTTTCTTTGGAACTTGGCTAGCTTTACCACGTTGGCTATTTCCATTACGTTGAGATTGGACATTGTGAGTAGTACCCACTCTGTTCTCTATACCGGTAGGGTCATTGCCTGCTCGTTGCAGCTCAATTCCGGCGTTGATGTTGTTGTTACCAAATGCTTTCAGGCAAGAGTACAGTTGTGGGGCTTGAGCCGCATTTAAATCTCCATGGGATGAATTGGGATACCGATGCGGTAGTGAAGCATATTTCCAATCACCTTCACTCTTCATCTGCGAGATTTGATTAGGCTCATCATATCCTTCATGGCTACGCAATAAGTTGTGCTCACATCTATTCTGAGCAGCTCCAGCTTGATTATGACGAAATTCTGGTCGCTGGACAATCATAACAGGTGCTAACTCCTGAATCTTAATTGATGATTGAGATTTCGATTCCTGATAATTGCTTACGATATGTTCATCATGGTCCATTGGTGGTGATGGTATGGTTTGCGCTGACAGAAAGGTTTGATCGTATTTATTGAAGTTCCAAATACTCGATTGATACTTCTTTTCAGTCCATTCAACCAACGAGTCCAATTGACTTTGGGTTGTGAAGTTATCCTTTGGCTGAACGCGACTGGAAGTTGGGACTTCGAGGCTATTTGTATCACTCGTGCCACTCAATTGCTCCGAGCCTTGAAGCGCGACACTCTGGGCAGTAGGAGCCTGCGAACTTTGAGAAACAGCCATGTTCAATCGATCTTGGGTTGGGTATTTCGCAGAAATTTCATCAGCGATAGCTGGTCCAAATGAATCCAATACCACTTGATCTTCTTCGGTAAATTCGAGGGCTTTTTCCTCTACATTTTGTTCAGGAAATGCATCATAATTTGCTTGAGCCGCCCCTACATTGGCATACCATGAATTGATCTCCTGATGGATAGTTTCATCTGAGGTATTCAAGAAATCAACTTGCTGTTCTTGACGCAATCCAAAGTTTTCAAGACCTGGAATATCGATGGGTGGCGTATCAACGATAACTTGCTCACTGCTTGGCTGGTTTGCAGAAGCGGACGATGTTACAATCGGATAATCCTCTTTGGTAGAGAAAGGGGAAGCATTCAAATCTGGATTTGAACTGATCGCGTTGCATTGATCAAAGTTTTCGGTTACTTGCCCCGTCCAATCAGCATCTAACATTGTCGCAGCATCGAAATCAAACAAATATGAGTACTGTTCTAGTTCTGCGTCGGTAAGGGGTGGTGCAGGTGCATACTCAGGCATGGTTCCTGGGCTTCTCTTTGAACCATCGAGGCCATTTCCGTCAGCCTCCTTCATGGTCTCGAGTATCTGTTCTGGACGAGGCATTGCGTCTTTGTTTGGAAATTCGGACATTAATAAAGCTGCTAAACGATCGTTGAAAAGATTGTTAAAGTTATAATGGTATGTATGATTTCAATTATGGTGTTCGGATGGTCTTCAAAGTGTGTTGAGTCTTTATCAACTCAAAGATTTGATGAAGTAATTTGGAAGTCGAAGTCAGTATGAACGTGGTGCTTTTGTATTATTTTCATGCTCATCAAGAACCGTTACTAGAAGTCCTAGTACTGTCACCATATAACCGTGATACTATTAATGATTGCCCAAAGATGCTTGTACACGTTGTTTACATTGTTCAATACAGCATTGAATAGGTTCGCGGTGTTACTTCTGTCACGCGTATATTATTATCTATGTTTGCTACATCGTACGCGCTGAATAGCTACCGTATATGATCTTGGCTGTATAGCAACGACTTATACGGTCGATACTTGATAATAGTTGGCATTTTATTACATCATCTAGATGATTGTTTACGGAAATATCTAGTGAATATACGGATTCTACCGAGTGAAGGGGCAACTAAGATTGGCCCTAGACTATAGGAGTAGGAGTTGCGACGATTGAACTTTTCCTGAAGTTTCCAGCTTTTTGAAAATCTGTCCATTATTTCCTCCAAGTAGCTCTTTCATCCATTGCATACTGTACAATGAAAGTACCTTTTTGAAAAGTTATGCTTTAGCCATCAATATACATATCAAGAATCATCATAGTTCTCCATTTCGGGGTTTGTCTATTCTGACATCAAGAGTTTATGATGAGTTTACGAAAGTTTACAAACTCTCCACTTCTCACAGTATAGAAATTTCATTTCAGTTAAAGGTCATATGAGAGATTTTTGAGATAGATTTTCACCATTTTCACTGTTTCCAGGCTCAACTAGAGGACAAATATTGATGGAAAATCCTACAAGTAATTCAGCTGCGCAAAGTTTACCCCCGGGGCAAATGATGGACTCGACAGACAATTTACGGATAATCTGTCGGCAGAGCGGGTGACTTATCTTGAGGCTTTTATTTGGTGTTTCGTATAGGGGTACCTTGGATTATGGAATGTTTTCCGGAAACTCAAAATTTTGAAAAATAGTATATAGATGGATTATAGAGCTTGCATAATTTCAATCTCTGATAGCGATTTAAGCCTGGGTCGACATGTCTAATTACTTGCGATTCGATATAAATGTATGTGTTGCTACGAAGCTACCCAAATAACTTCGCAACGAACTCTTGAATTCTTGTCATTGCAGCAAAGAAGATAGAGGAATCGAAGACTAAGAAACATTTAGATAAATCCTGACAACTCAACGGAATAATTGACATGTATAGTGTGTTAACTGAGGTATTGCGGAGTTACTATGTATGTATTACTACGCGCGTCTCTTACAATATCCGCACGTGTTCATTCGCCCCCTGCTAATTCGGCTCGTATTTTTAATTTTTGTTTTCCAGATGGGTAAGTAATATTCATGGTACTTGAAAGTTGATGAGGTTTGAAAAGATTCAAAACGATTTTGAAGTAAATGTAACTGATTCTTGGAGTATCAATATTACTTCATCATTTTAGTACTATTCTTAGTCGAGAATAGCTGTTTATGTATGACAAAATGATTCAAATCATCTTTTTAATTCGCTATGATACTAACTCGTCTTACTCCCATTACTAGCCTCAATTCATTGGTAATTTGCAGATGGTAATCACTTTATAAGCTTTGTTAAATTATTATTTCATTGATTCTCATCGCGAACAAGATTCGAAGATCTACAATTCGCAAATCTTCTCTGCCTGTTTTCATAGGATCGTGTTTCCTCTTCCTTTCTTCGTGCCACTTGAAAGGCTTCAAAATCCTTGTGCCTGACGGGTCGAAGCTTGAAGTCTCGAGGAATCTTTCGACCAGTAAAGTTCTTCCTCTCTTCTTCTCTGGCCTTCTGACGGTGCCTAGTTTCAGTTAGTAGTGACCTCTGGAAACTTCTCTGGGAAACTCACGCATTAATTAGTTTGATCATTCTTGTGGGCATCAATATTGCTTTCATCCCAGCCTGTTGCGAGCAATCCATTCTTTCTGGAAGAAATGCTCTATGGGGATGTTTATCGTAGTCAGGATCTATGGCCTTCATCTCTTCCAATGACACACTTACTCGAGACATACAATACGAACGTTGCTCGACTCGTGGCTGAGAAACGTACTTGGTTTTGGCGACTTTGTTTCTCTTGGTGGGGTTATGAGAACCCCGATTGATCTCATCCATTTCAAATCTATCCTCCAGGTCCGATAGACCCCCAGCAACATACATACCACCGGCTTGTACTGGTGTGGTCTTTGTGCCACGGGATCGGGTGCGCTTTCGAGGAACGAGGCCGTGATTTCCTTGTTGGTGGCTTTCTTGAGATCGCTTTTGGAGTACTGGGACCTGATTGCCATGAGTCTCATTTTGACTCCCACTTTCATAGCCACCACTATTGACATTGAAGTATTGGATTGTTTGTTGTGGCAAATCAATGCTGTATTCTGAAGATCGATCAGTATTCAGATAGTCGTTATAATTGATTCTATGGCTTGCGGACGTCCAATTCCCGTCCGATTGTGGATAATCCGTGAGATGAATGTGAACTTGCGGGAACTGTGGAGGCCTGATGGACTCTGGTATTTGATTATCAAGGTCAGGAATTCCATATCGACTGCACAATTTGTCGAGTCCAGTTGAGGTCTCTGTGGTTAATAGCTCACGTCCCAAAATATTCTCTTGGTTGCTTCCTGATAAACCTGCCATACGATCATCAAAATTGGTTCCATCCCATGTGTCATAAAATCTTCGTCCCAAGTCGCCGTTGCTTATATGATAATGTGAGCTATTATTATCACTCAAGATAAGTGGTTGATTCTGATTCCTGAGAGGCAAATTTGTCTCAACTTGCGACGACACGTCATTACCACCTCTGATTGCAGGAGGTATTCCCCAGAGACGAATCATCTCCTCTGGACTTACGATTTCAAACTCGCAGTCATCATCCTCTGTGGACTCGAGATCTAACATATTGTGCACAGTTGGAATATCAGTTCCACTCCGGAAGCCTTGGTTTTGGTCATCTGCATGCTGCTGTGTCGGCTGCTGATCGCCCAGTCTTGAACTATCGAAAGAAGTTTCTAACTCTATATTTTGACGATTAGCTAAAGTTTTTGACCGAAACAAAAGAAAATCGCACTTACCATTCAAGTTTTTAAGACGTCCCCCCTTTTCATCGTCATACACATCGTTAAATCCATGGAGAGCAGTTTCTCGAATATGATGACCTTCGACTTGAGGCTCTTGCATTCGAAGATTTTGCATTTTGTCGATTCCAAATGACGTGGATCTATATATCGATGGGTCTGTGGAGTCTAACAGTTAGTTTTGGAGTTTGTGTCGTCATGTTTGAAATATGCTTACCATCATTTTCAAAAATTGTGACAAGAGAGTTTCGGAGTCGTAGCCTGGTTTGAGCGTCATCGTTATTAGATGCCGGGTCACCTAGTATTCCTACTATGATGTGGCCATCCAGATTGTATTCATCGATTGCTGAATTTATGCCGGAGTCATAGACCCCATTCCGGTTCGTGGTGTTGAAGTTAGTGTTCATCTTGCTTGACTGGTGGTTGCGTAGAGAAATTTTCAAGCACTTCACAAGACGCTTAATGATGTTTATTATACATGTCCTGAATAGATGTAAATTATGCTCTAGAAGATAGATGAAATGCATTTAAATATTTTGGTACTGTGACAAAAATATGGGTAGAGCAGCCGCCTAGACACGCTAGCGCCTGCGCCACTTAAGCGAGATACTAATACCTACTACGGCACCTAGTACATGCTTCTAAATAGCACAGCATACAGCTTTCCGCGCCGTATAAACCGTTAGGTATCTGCTTGGTCTGTATTGAATAATTCTAGTGAATCTTTGTTTTTCAATCTTATAATTCTCCGCGAGCCAGGATCTTGTGATTTGAGTCATTGAATGACTTTGGCATTTCAAGTATCTAATTTGTAATCTGTGACTAGTTTATTTATTCCAGTTTCTATGATCTACTTCCTTGTGAAGCCTCGGAACTCTGCCGTGAATGTATTCTCTAGATAATTGTTACCATCCCATTGCCAACTAAGATGAAAGACACTAGCGAAATTTGAGAAAGCCATAGGATTGGGAAACAAGGGCTAGAAATAAATAATAAGCATTGTAACATAATAGAATAATATCTTTTTTGTGCGGATGCATCACTTAATTCGGATTCGCGTATCTAATGGTACAATCATTCACTTGAAACTGGACAGAATGTTCATTTTGAATTCGTGTCGGGGAAAAAAAGTTTGCAAAGTTTCTCAGTCAGTGAAGTTATCTTTGTAAAAGAATACTAAGAAATGTTGCGAGTATGCGCGAAATAATATCTCTATCATGGCCTCGAAGTTATGATCTTTGTCTGCTCTGAATGTTAGATCTTGCTTTTGTTATTAGCCACTATCAAGATAGACATGATTGCAGAAAAATACAAGGGTTCCTAGAATATGATCTACGAACTCCAATGGATAATGTCACACTCAGGGTCTTGTGAATAGAGAAATCAATGGGCAGAAAGACGTAAACCATGGATTTTAGACATAATCCGTTCCATATGGCAACATTACCACTTCGCATTTTATTAATCGATTCCATCGACATCATGGGAAAAGATAGACGATAGATGGAAGTTGTATTAGATAAGAACTAGAAACTATTGTGTGAGGTCTTTTGGAAGTATCTTGAACAGGCAGTCTCCTTTTATCTCTCAATTCTATTCAGCTATCGTTAAGCTGTATAGAAATTGCGCTTATCGATACCTCTTATTCCTCCCTATTTCCTTCGGGATCACATCTTTTGATGTGTGGCTTCTCGACTTCCTTCAGAGAGATGACATAATTTTTCTCCTAAACATTTGCATTCCCTGAACGTACGACTGCGATTGTATCTGGATAATCTTCAAGCACCGGGTTTGAGATAAGGCCAGTCATGGTGTTTGGGTTTCTCAAGAATTATGTAATCACTGGATGGAATTACCCTCAAATTCAGGGTTATACCGCCTATGGTCGGCCGTTCGTCTCATCCGATTTGTCCATGAATCAGAAACTTCTCCCGTTTGCTTTCTTCTCAACCACTCATCACGACATTCCCGAAGTCGGCCATTTGGACAGTAAGGCTTAGGTATAAATTTTTGTACGTATGTTCCAGGAGCGGAGCGCTTCATACGCTCATTCTCTTCATGTGCAACATTCCGACGGTGTCTAGAGATTGGTCAGTAACAGATTTTTACAGCAGAGGGCAATGGGACACAGAGGTAAAGAGATTACAAAGGGTACTCACTCGTTCAGTAACTCTACTTGATCCCAGTTTATTTGGAAAGACTTCATTCCATTCTTGGCATTTGTCATATCTTTGAAGGCCAATCGAGGATTCTTCTCATATTCAGGATCTATGATCTTCATTTCTTGTTCAGTCATCCAAACACGTGGATAATTGAACTCAGTGCGCGTTGTCCAAGGTCTGCGCTTTCTCTGAGTTGCTCCCTTATTCTTTGACTTTCTGGTCTCTGGAGCCTCGCTATCTGAAGTATCCGATTGAGCGTCTGCATTCATATCTTCAGTCTGTGTGTTCTGCATGTTTCTGTCGACCAAGTTCTGACTTTCGTGGCTTTCATCACCCATCGTGGTGTTGTGGTTGTGATTATAGTTATTGACCGCGACAGATTGACCAGCTGCTGAGTCAGATGGAGCAACTGATGCTTCGGGATTCGTCTGCTGGGCTAGAGCCGGGATATCTGTTCTATTCAAGCCACTGTGGACATAATAGGGCTCTGTGGATGCTATTTTACTGTTAGTTCAAGCTCTTAGTTTCCCAGAATAGGAGTTGTGCTTACCATTTGGATCTGGGACTTCCGGATACAGTGATCTTGGATTATCTTCATCTGACAATGGATAGTTCAATCCCCCATCTCGCTGGCAAATCTGTTCAAGGACTTCCACGGAAGGATCGATCCACCGTGAATGTTGGCTGTCATACATCACATGGCTTGGATCAACATAATTGCTTGACTGATATTGCGTCAATGGATGAAGATAGACCTGCTCCAGAAACTTTTGATTGTCCTGGACTTGCTGGTCGGATGTCATGCTGCCATCCATTTTTTTTCCATAGTTTGTGTTTTTCATCTTTCCTATTTTGGAGGCAGGCTGCACGAAAATCTATCAAAGTAAATTGCAGTAAAATATTTGACGTTTTGCAATGAATTGAAATTCTTGATGAATTTATTCAAAGTTTGTCGAGTGGAAAATGTTAATTCGAATGTATCAAAACCTCCTTGATAACTGATGAAGAAAGTTGTTTTTGTGTTGAAAGATAGTGGTATCGCTCCATGTCTGAATGAAGCCTTATATGTCTATGTAGATAGATACTGTACGGCTTCTGACGCCAGGCATATTGTTCACAATACGGTGGATATCTATGAATTCATTGATGTAAACTATGTTTTCTATGGTAGTCATCATACAGTACAGCGCCGTAGCATGATCGGTGCGCGAATTAGAAGAATATTTGTAGATGTAGAGACATGTACGACTCTGCGGTACGTGCTCATGGTATCATAAAAAATCACAGCGGAACGGAACTGCAGCAGTATAGTTGCTGTTGTAGTTTGACTCTTCCAGCAAATAGGAATGTCACAGAGATCAAATGAATGGTCAATCCATAGTCGCCTACGATTAATTTTGAGATAACCTCACCCCATTTTCATGCAAGAAATCTTGTAGCCGTCACTTGGGTTGGACTCTCGACTGCTTTGAATGCTTTCAACGTATTTTCTCATCGGCCTTATTTCTTCCTAGGGCTCAGTGCTCAGGAAACTGCTCTAGGTTCTTCAATACTTAGATATGATGTTTGCTAAGGTTTCAGGGAGGCAAGCTATAGTTAAAGGATAGTTGATGGTCTCTCCCTCAGAAGGAAAAGAAAGAAAAGAAACTTCCGAGTCATAAAGTCACGTATTGTTATTTTCATATACCTACTTTGGCAGCTCAGAGTTCATCATGCCACGGAACCCACCTCGAGTTAGCTTGATTATCTGGCAAATGAAATTTTCAGAATAAATGTAATTGCTTAATAAGACACGACTCCTCAATCAGAGCAGTGTCTTTGAGTGAACTCGGCTCATTCCGACTTCGATTGGCGTGGAAGATATGATAGGAGACTACTGTTCGATAAGTAACTCTCCTGACATCCATCCGATTGGTCCAGTATGCGTCTTAGCGAGCTTTCGGATAATTCACTTACCTTACTAACACTGACATGTGTAAATGGTGGATTGAAGTACGAATTCTGATTTAGAAAAACGACACGAAAATTATAGACCCCTCATCGGCATCGAGGTGATTATTGTTCTTGTTTCGTATCATTACACTGATGGTATGGAAGGCGATATTAAATGCTATTAGTCCGCAATACAAAAACTATGAACTCAATACAACGTGGCGTCTTTGAAACATTCATAATTCAGCATATAGAAGCCCATATTGTTCGAGGGACAGACCTTTGAGCTTTATCATGAGATAGAGATTCTAGAGCACTTGTTTATAGATCACGAACTTTGGGATCCTAGCTACGATTAGATATACTATAAATGGGAGTTAGACAATTTGTTCAAGAGATACGATCACAATTCTCGTGAACAGTTTTGCAATTGTTTTATCACGGAAACCCATAGCCCCTGACGATAAATGACGAACTCATTTACATGACCCCGCATTTCGCTAAGAATTTTCTCAAGTGTAATTGGCCACCTCTAGAACATCGCGTGATTGGCTAGCAAGATCTTCCTTTTCACAAAATTTAACACAATACACCAGGGCAAGAGCAGGTTAGAAAGGACACTTCAATGAACTGCGACAATTTCGACAAAAAATGTCGTTCAAAGGTCTAAATTGCTGCAAGCCAAGGTTGCTAACCTTAAAGTGAGGGAGAATCCCATTCGCCGAGAAGGAAAATGTATTCTGCGATGTGATTGGCGGACTAGTCCGGAAGGATGGGGGTAGGCACCAGCTTATCTTTGAATTCTTGTAACGAACTTCAACAACAATTTTCATATCACATCAAAACATCGAATACCCAAATCGCATTGAATATTATCGTTACCTCAAACTTAACCCTAAAATGACATCACTAAACTCCAACCCAATCCTTTCACTCGCAGAAACTCAAGATGCCCGTGAACTTGCTGCCATCACCACGAGGGCCTTTGAAGTAAGCGATATTGTATATCCAATTATATGGGGAAACACCGAGCCTGGGGTTCATGATACCGCCGTGATGTTGTTATTCAATCCAATGCAGAGTGAAACTATAGTTACGTGGAAAGTAGAGATCGATGGGAAAATCGTGGGTTATGCTCGGTGGTCGCTACCTAAAAAATTTGAAGTCGCAGAGGTAGACTTGGGAGAGAAAAATGAAGAAGATAATGAAAGCGCCACAGCGCAACATAAAAAGAAGGTCGAGGAGGGATGGAAGACACCTGCTGGTATGAACTTCGATCTATTCATGCAAAAGATGAAGAGTACAGTTGAGTGTAAGAATCGTGATTATAATTCAGAAAAAGACATGTGTAAGCGAATCCCTCATATCTTTTAACCTTGACATATTTCCCACTTTTTGACGTACACTACTTACTGTCTAGTCCTCTATCTCTGTTTCGTCGACCCAGCGTACCACAAACAAGGAATAGGAAATTTGCTGCTACAATGGGGACTTAGTATGGCAGATAAGGGAAGAAGAAAGATATGCTTGGTTAGCACCCCGCAAGCTCGTATTTTTTATGAGAATAGTGGGTGGTTCGTGAAGGAGAACCTAGAGATAAATCTGGAAGCTTATGGGAGAAACGAAATCTATCAACGGAGTTGGATGATCAGGGAAGCTCGAGACAAAGAAGACTTGTAGGACTGCGGCTGTGTAACTTCATATATCCAGGCTCACCATTAAATTTCATAAGAAATACAGTTGTTGATGATGTGTTTCAAGCTCGCAGATATTTCTCGTCATCATGTCAGATTATCTACTATCATCCATCAACCAAGCAAAGCTCCGAGAAGAACAGAAACGGAAGCCTAAAAAAATTCAATCACCAACTTATATACCACATACATTAGCGAACTAAGTCGGCACAGTCATCTGAAACCAAATATCTGAGAACAACGATGTCCTAGCTGCCAAGATCTTACAGAAATACCCATCAAAAATTGAGAGAACAAAGCTAGTATACTACAGGTATTTCACAATGGTGTGGTTGCTAATCTAGTGCAGGTGGACTTTCGGCAGAGTTGGGGTCAATATCACGTGGCCTCAATTTACGCAGGAATTTTGACTAGACATCGAGATTCGATGGATTAACCGGATGGAAAAATATTATTTGAAATAGATAAATGGTTGAGACGTTGTTCTGCTCAGGAGTGAGGCAAGAGATTGATAAACTTAAATAACCACGCATGTGAAATATTTCAATCCTCCTATACGTCCGAATCCATGGCCTCGTCTAGAAATCCACTTTGAACTCCTTAGAAATCTACAGAAGACTTAATACACTTTTTCCTTTATCAGCCTCTCGAGCTTTCCACAATGATCCAACCATTTCAAAGGTCCTCTAATATCTCGTTTTCAAATACATTTATTAATCTCCCAAATTGCCCTCGGACGATTTGAATGACTTGGTAATATTGAATTAAAATTATGATGAAAGGCCAGATTTCTGAGTGCCTTCTCTATCGCATCGATGTAACATATCGTTAATGGAAAATTCTTGAATTCCACTCCTCTCATCCCGACAATCATCGATGAGTTCTGAAACCTGTTCCGAAATGTCGACTAGCGTTTTCTGGAACTGGTGAACCGACTTGGGCATCTCCACTTCACGCACGTTTTCACCGGCCGCAAATTCATTGTCGAGCCAATGGGTCATATAACCGATTGTATCATTACTATGTCCCTTTTCAGATTTGTCGTTTGAGCGCTGTATAAATGAAAGTATTCTTTGAATCTCTGAGCGGGGTACAAAGTCAGGATTTGTTAGATTTCGGTTTGTCAAGACTTTATAAATGCCAAACTCTATTGTGAATCGTAGCGCTCGACTGGCATCGTTGGCCGCTTGAAGTTCGGGCAACAGTTCTTTGCCTGTCTCGATAACTTTACGTAGCCCCACGGATTTTCCGGGATACAAATTTGACTGGGGCAACATGTATTCTTCTCTTAACCCTTTCAGATATTCGATGAATATTTTTCTGGTCAATTTTGATCTTATTGGCTGCTTGAACAGAGATGCCCAATAGGACTGATGGCTTATCCATATTCTAAAATGGAAAGTTCTGACGGGTTTAATATCAGAAATGAGTTCGATCAAATCCTCTATCACTGCATTTGTGAGTATCATTGCGTCCTCCGCGTGTCGACGAACCAGATCACAATATACCATATATTCATGGTATATCTTGTCAACGTCAGCCTGTACATCCTCAAACATTTTGGTAATTGGCGCCCTTGCGGGTAGTCTGGCATCTCATTAATGAATCTGTTGAAAGTTAAAAGTGTGTCGCCTGGAAATGTATCCAATTGTCCTCGAAATACGTCCCCTTCCTTTCTGGTAGCATTGTAGGTGATATCCTTATATAATGATGGAATTGCAGATACACTTCTTGGGACGATGAGTTTGGCATTATAAGCACTTTTAATTTGTTTCTCGTGACGGTGCCATCAATCCATATAGGGTATCATATATTCCCAAGTCAAGAAAAAAATCAGCATAGAGATTCCCAGTCACATTATTTGAGTTAATTGAAAGTCTGCAATCCATGAGCCATGGGTTTCAAGAGGAGATCTGCTAGTGTTGTCATCTAAGTAAGAATCAGAATCAAAATCAGAGTCACTTGCACTTTTGCTCGAGGTACGTTCCCTGCGTTTGGTCAAGGACCCTCGGGGGTATCTAGTAGGCATCGAAGACGTGGAGAAGCTTATGCCGATTTGAGTATTATGTAGTAGAGTTTGCCAATATCTGCGAGGTGATGATAGACTTGAATGAATCGTTGATGATGAGCAAGGAGAATTTTTTGTATGTGATGGCAATCCGTTGGAGTCGAAAGGTTGATTGCGGTCGTGGTGCTTTACAAGCTTTTATTTTTGTGCGCAAAGCTTTCTTTGAACGGTGCCAGCACTTGGATTTTAGAACATCCTTTGTCGAAATTGATGAGAGTCCAAGAAACTTCGAAAAGCTGCTACTGTCATGTGGTGCGCTCGAGATAACCTATGTGACAAAGAGACAATGGTAAGACAAAGAAATTTAATACCCTTTTGGCAACTGTGTTAAAGAGATATAACTTCCAGAATTATTGATCCTCGATCGTGAAAGGCTCAATGAATAAATAACATTTGGTCTGTGGTCAAATCCTGTATCACAATCAATGATTATCATGGAATCATGTATAGGTTCTTGAAGATGTTGATAGAAGAAAAGAAGAAGAGGGGCTTTTGAAGAAAGTCGGTTTTGTCCACAAAGAAGCCTCCTCATAAACTTTGGTAAGAAGTAGTTCATGGGGTATGTACTGCTATGCGATGTCAAGTAGTTACAATCCAATTTTTTGAAATTTTTTATTTATGCAAAGATTTCCCCTCATAATTGGAATATTGAATTTGAAATTATGCTCCATCGTGAGGCACAGAACAGAGTAGTACAAGCAGTGGTTTGTTTGAAGCATCATAAATTCAAGGAAAACACTTGTTTGTAGTAGCACAGATTGGCAAATGAATAATATCAGAATAATTGGACGTAGAAGAAAATCACAAGGTAGACAAAGCTAAAGAATTCTAACGAAAGTCCAGAATTCACGATGTTTTAAATAACATATGTTAAATTGAGTGAGTTTCTAATCTCATTTGTGATAGATGATCACCCTGAAACTATTTTCAGATCAATTAAATGTCGGATCCATGTGGCTAAAGTGCATTAACCATTTTTGAAAAGAGATTTAGCTCTCGCGCAGAATTGAACCACAGCCCTAGGTATTGAAGCAGATCAAGTCCCTCGTCAACTTCTCCTCATCAAATCTCCATCTAGTCACGTCAATCTGTCCCTTCCAATCAGGCTTGTCGCATAGCTCATGAAGAAGACTGTGATATCTACCCATATTCAAGTTGAATCCTAAGATATCCTTATTTTCTGCCATTAATTGGATATAAAATGCTAGTTCCTGGAACATAACTCCGTGCCGACGCGTTCCTAATTGCTCCAAAGATCCATGATTGCAACAGCGTCCAACACAACTGTATATGTGGAAAAAAGCATGACACATCTCGTGGACTAGGATACCAAACAACTTTTTCAATTTTTCTCCATTGAGCGGCTCAACCTCTGGTCCAACAAAGATGGTGATCGTGCTCCTTGGCCGGAAGCGACATTCGATGACATCTTTTTTGCCTCTTCTATAAACGGCCTTAGATTCTTGAGACGTGTGGCCTTGACAACCAGGTAGGCTATCGCCGGGTAAAGAAGTGATTAGAGTGACGTATTCATTCAATGTACCTCTGAAAAACAAATCATCGAATATGTGAAAGTACTTTTCCAGGATGATTTTCGTTGATACGAGGCGAAGCTGATTTGGGGTATGGAGGATATCTATCACCTTCCACTTCTCAACCGCGTCTTCCTGGAGAGGGCTTAATTTTGAATTTGGATTGATATATTTCCAGACGGCGCCTACAAGGCTTACAGGTCGATGCTTAAACACCTTTAGGCGGTTTAGAGTCAAAGGTCGACGAAATAATAGTCTTCCCAGGAGATAGTCCCGCTGGGGGTTTGCTTTTCGAACGATCAAAGAATGTGGGAAATGATTATCATCTCTCTCTTGGGCGAATTCCTCTATTGCAGATCGACTTTGACGGAGTAATTCGGCGTCACACCCTTTGACATATGTTGGTCTGCCAATACCATTCGATATTTTTGAAGGTATTTGACCCATCGCGCGAGTTGTTTCGATAAAATCTGGAGAAATGTCGATATTTGAAATGTTATATGAGATATTCTACGTAGTGTCATGGAATTAAGGGAATCGTTCCCAACCAGTACGTGTGCTGATAGATATAGAAAATGCCACCACTGAAGATGACCGTCTTGAACATTAGCAACCGTATTAACCGTAGCAATCAACTCATTCAAGGTGCCGCAAATCCCCATCCTGGCCGTAGTTGATGAAAAGCATAGGAAGTACAGCATCTCACAATTTCAACACTACTTGAATTTAGGAATCCAACAAAGACAAAGAGCATGTACACTCGTGAAATACGAAGCTGTATACTTATATTACATGCTAGGACTGATAGTAGGATTAAATGCTATTCGATAAACAAGCGATCAAAGTCGAGAGAAGCCAATTGATAAGTAGATTCCGAAGCTCTCGGAAGTTATGTGCATTATACCCGTCGGCTGTACCAGAGAATCAGTTCTAGTGATGATATGGCTAATATTGAGAACTACTCGAATTCATGTTCTCAGTAACCTCAGAAGCCTGTCTTCTCTACCAGTACGAAGGAATGTCTTTAAGAGAGTAAGATCAAATGTTAAGGTGATATCTCTGTTAACAATCAGAATGAAAGACTAATCTTTTCTACTCCCCAACGTGGCCAAATTTTGTAAAAAATGACAACCATAAACATGGCTAGCACTGCGACCTACATACCTTCAAGGGATAGTATAGAGGTCAGAAGACTTTCTGCGGCACCTTTGATCTCTTATCACCGATTATTATTCTTGACACGGGTCTCGTGGGCTAAGCTCGATATATCCATGTATGTGTATGCTTCGACCTGCTTTTAATCTTGGCATCATTCGTACTGGTCTTGTTCCATATGACTACCAGGATCATCATCAGACCTAGAAGCAAGTAGTACGTTGAGTGCATGCGTTGAAACTATATACTCATTTTTTGACGATGGTCAAAAATGTTTGTGAACGGCATTCCCGAAAAGGCGAAAGCCCAAGATTTAAAACTTTTGTCATTGATTTTGTCTATAATCTTCAAGAGCCAGAATAACGCATACTTCTATAGTTTTGTAAAGGATCTAATATCTTGACATCATAAGAACTTTTAAGGGAATTAGCTTGAAGGAGCTGCGAGGTTTCCTCTAACACCTCCCTTCTCTCCGACTTCGCGTGCAGTGACAGTAACTGACAAATCCTTGCTAATGTTGATCATGACTTCGACCTTGCTACCCTTCTTGACACCTCTGACTGCGGCCTCTGCGAGAACATTTCCGACCTTCCAGATTTTCTCACGTTGCTCCTCTTCTTCCTCTTCGCTACTATCATCCTCAGAATCATCAGAGTTTGCGTCCTCAACCTTGGCGCCAGTAGATTTAGGTTTTGGCTCTGGCTTAGTGACCTTGATGTGAGATCCACCCTCGACAATCTTGACTAAAACATCACCACCTTCTTTAGGAGCAGCAATTTCGACAGTTCGGCGGGCTGGGACGGCAGTTTCGGCAGCAACAATTGGTGTGAAAACACCCTTGTCAGTCTCTCCTGAGATAGAAAGAACTCCAATGGCGTTTGTGAGGTGCTGAACGGTAGTGACGGCAGCGTGAGTAGATTGCTCAATATCTTGAGCATCGAATTCTTGAATGAGAGATGCTTGAAGAGCAGCTCCACGGGCTTGCAATTCGGATGGGTTGATTGCGGTAGGGCTGGTGGAAGGAGCAAGAACTGTGGCATTTGGGTAGATATATTGGACGTTAGATGCGATTTTTGGAGTGTGCGATGTACCACCAGAAAGGATGACCTCATCAATTTCCAAAGCATCTAATCCAGCCTTCTTTACAACACCCTCAATCAATCTGTTGAATCCTTCAAAGACCTTGCGTCCGATAGTCTCGTATCTAAGTCTGTTAATGGTGGAAGAGAAATCAATGCCCTCAGCTAAACTCTCAACACTGAAGTTGGAGTTTTGTCCGATACTAAGTGCTTTCTTGGTAGCTTCGGCTTCTGCCTTGAGTTTTGCGAAACTGCGTTGGTTTTCACGGGGGTCGATTGAGTTCCACTTGATGAACTCTTTGGAAAAGTGATCCATGAGGACCTGGTCCAAGTGAACACCAGCGAATTCATAATCGTGGGCAGTGGCCAAAATAGTATACATGCCACCTCTTGATGCGATAACTGCGACATCTGAGCGAGTTCCTCCGAGGTCTGCAACAATAACATTCTTATCCGCAACCTTGGCCTCTGGCCTTGCATCATATGCCAACAAAGCAGCAACAGGCTCATTGATGAGTTGTAAAACCTCAACACCTGCATCGTTTGCTGCCTTTGTCAAAGCTGCCTTCTGGTTGTCGGAGAAATTTGTTGGGATTGTGATGACAGCCGAGTTAATTTGTTTTCCGGTGTAATCTGATGCGGATTGTGCGAGACGACGGATAACTCGAGTTGTTACCTCAGAGACAGAGACGGTTGATGGTTCACCCTCCTCCTTATCTTGAATTTTGAATGCGATGGTGCCTTCGTGGTCCAAAGGGTGTGCAGAAGCATGGCTGTGTGTAGGGTCTATCGACTTGAAGCTATGCGGGGTGCGGGGCAAAATGTTAGTCGACCTTCTCTTGGAATACTTCTGGGGTCCCGAGGGGCATTTATGATGTAGACGTACTCTTGTCCAAGGAAATCTCTGAAATAAGCAACAGTGTTTGTGCTGTTTCTAATAAGTTGTTGCTTGGCCTGTTGACCATAATATTCGTCTCCATGGATATACGACAAAATAGTAGGAATTTGACGATCTGTGGTCGACATCAATCAGTCTGCCTCCCCATCCTGCTCGGATCTATTTTGAGTGCATTTTAGTTACTTACCTCCATCTTCGTTGGCAATAACTTCAGCTTTATCTTCAACAGTTGTGTAGGCGATTGAGCTGTTGGAGTTTCCGAAAGAGATACCAATGGCATTTCTCTCACCAGCAGTGCCGTTTGATGCGGGAGCTTCAGCTGCCATTTTTAGATTTATGAAGAATTGTAGGAGAGGACAAAAAGTTGATGAATGAAATAGAAAAAGACTTTGACTCAAAATCAAAGGTTGTTATGGTTCTGTGTAAATAATCAATGTAATCAAAACCATCCAGAACTTTTTTACTTTTTCAAAATCGCATCGAGAATTTCGCTAGCGCCACATCTTAGCCCCCCCACATTTTGCAGGCGCAAACGCAAGGCTGAGAAATCTGAACTTTTTGTCTATTGGAGCAATTGTTGGCTATACTCAAATAATATAGTCGATACACAAACAAACTCAAAGATTATTCACAACGACAACTACAGTTGGAAGATATCTTTCAGCCATAGAACATTGCGCCCAAATAGTCGTTTGCTCACCATATCATAATGTCGACAGAAACGTTCGTCCTTCCCGGCGATCATATTGCTTCAGAATTATTACCTTCTCACCCAAGTTTACCATTGAAGCTCGGCCCCGGGTTGAGACATATTCCTCCAAATACGATTACTTCAACTGTAGCAGGTCAACTACGCGCAGATTCGAGAAAGAATGCAGTGTGGGTTGAATTTAACGCTGGTCGAGTGAGAGATAAAATCACGAAGTCCTTATTCCTCGGCGCAGCTAACCTTTCCCTTAGTACATTCCAACAGTCGGAGATCTCGTAATTGCTTCCATTAAAAAATCAGCAGGAGACGTCTTTTATGCAACCCTTAGCGACTTTACATCGGATGCCAGTTTACCAGTTCTCTCCTTCGAAGGAGCTACGAAGAAAACCAGACCACAGCTTGAAAAGGGCGCGCTAGTATATGCACGAGTTACTCTTGCAAACAAACATATGGATCCTGAATTGGAATGTGTATCAGCATCAACGGGTAAATCAGAAGGTTTGGGGCCATTGGAGGGAGGGATGCTTTTCGATGTATCTCTCGGAATGGCAAGACGAATGATGATGGCTCGCCCAGCTGATCAAGGTGGTTTGACGATACTCGAGGAATTAGGAGAGGCTGGTGTCTCGTTTGAGATTGCCGTGGGAAGGAATGGGAAAGTTTGGGTGGATAGTAAGACAGTTAAGACTACATTGGCGATAGGAAAGGCCTTGAAAGAAACGGACGAAAAGGGCCTGTCACCGGAAGATCAAAAGAAACTAGCTAAAAAGCTGGGACGCGAGGCTTGAAATACGATACCCTAGAATAGAATAATTACGCCATTGGAGAAGCTTTGCAAGAGGCTGAAGCAAAAGGGACGACCCCATACCAACATTCCTCTCATATCAGCCCTTACAGGATATGATACACGATCGCAATCCCTTCCCTCAATTCCTCACTCCCGCCACTAAAACTACAATAATCCTTCAGAAGCTTCTATTGGGCTTCTCTAGAGCAGCACGTATGGAGTCTACAGATGCTTCCAAGCGTGTATTATCTAGAACAATATGCAAGTCATATCGATAATCAAGCGCAATGCATTCCAGTTGCCCAAACTTACTCACCAAGTTTCCAATTGATCAGTATCCAGTGACATGATGAAACTGAGAGGCAAGCTAGGAAGTCTATATAATGATGATGTACACCATGCAAATTGTCTTTCCTTATGCACTCAGAATATTCATCATGTTTGGCTTTACTACTACAATCACATTGGCTATTCTCTGCCTAGCCAAACCATCACTTTCGAGACCTGTCCCTAGAAATGAGAAAGGAGAACTTAGTAAGATCTCGTCATATCCATCTAGTGATCAGAATACTAATGCTTTACTAGTTGATATCAATATTCAACTCATACCAGGACTAGACATAGGAGTAACTGTTGGTTGTGGTGATAATATTGTGGATGTGAACTTCAACTTCATGCATTTGCCCTTAATTCCTTGTACGAACACCCAGAAATCGATTTCAACAACCGGTGTGAAGTTGCCGTTGATAGGCAGAAATATGAAAAGCAAACCCATGGACTTGCCAACTTTGCCAAATTCTACTGGACGTGTAAAGGCCACAGATTCGTCTATCCGAAGTTTGCCCAATACCTCAGCGTCAACATCAATTAGCACATCACAATTCATCGGTTCTATAGCAGCTATAGATTTGTTAATTACCAAGTCTTCTATCGTCAGCACAACTACATCCATCAAGATCGACTCAAGACGGCTCCACACACATCATCGTACATTGGCAGCCAATCTCCCACCTACCATATTCATAGAATCTATTCCTACCTCGACGAATTCACCCAAGATAAAACATACTCATCACCGGCTAACGAAAACTTCCAATGTCATACAGTATACATCTGCACATCCTCATCCCTTACCAGCTCAGATCCTAATCAAGAGATTGGGAACAACAGCAAAGTCATTGACAATCGACTCGCACACAGCTAAACCAATATCCGCCCAGATCTCACCTCCGCAAACGAGATTTTCCACAATACCAGTCAACTCTATATCGGGAGAAAAGACTACCTTGATAACAAAAGCCACAAAAAGCTCATCGATAAGAAGGGCTACTTGGCATCCGCCCGCGGAGACTTTATATCCTCCTGTGGCTGAGCGTGAACTACCAAATAAAGGTTAGAAGAGAGCAATTAGGTGGCATCCATCGGCTAAGAGTTCGTATCCTCCCGTAGTTAATCGCGGATTCTCAAACAAGGACTGGTAAATTGACGGATAATTATTATATGGATTTTAAGTCCTGGCGTCCCTGTCTAATTTATACCAAGTATTTGCCATTGCTACGTTTCCTTTTTTGCATGCTGTTTGTCGCGCCTGGTAGCTGCAGTCAACAATTCTACAGTCGATCGTTATTATACAAAAGCCGTTGGTGACGGCCAGGAGCCGTTGTGGTGTCAATAAAAATGAATTAGTTCTTCCTTGCAAGTTCGCTTCACAAACATTTGTCAAAAACTTTCTGTCTTCAAAGGGATATTTTATATTCAATACTATTTGGTAATTTCGAATCCTGAAAAGACCTCTGTATGTAGTCCTTCATACACGAACTTCAGTGCTACATGTGTGGTAATGTTCCTTGCAACTGTTCATTAAACATTACTCCCCTCCCCTTACCCCTCTCGTCCATTCATCAATTAGTAGCCATACTCGATCAATATACCAAGCCCAATTTTTATACAGAATGCTAACTTCGACAACACCTAAGCTCAGCTTACGGCATCGACTTGATTCTAGCCTAGCCCATCACAACCATCCATAAGTCATCTCATCATCATCATCAGGTCCATTCATTTCCTCGTTATCTGCCACCGGCCAGTCCTGGAAATTTTCTTTGAGGCCTTGATCTTGGTTATCGCACATCGTCAATCCCTCGAAAATCTCCTCCATAACTTCCCGTCCATTCTGGTTCCCCTCCTCGATGATCTCTTCCAATTGGTGACCTATCATAGAAACGAGCTCGTCGTCATAATAATCTCCCCCATGGCCATTGACAAAGTTGAATAGATTTATAAATCCTTGCTCCATACACCAGCGGTCTATTTCCCGATTGTTTCTGATACCATCTGCAATTTTCGACACGGAATGGTTCGCTGTGGCTTGTTTTTCATCAACCTCGGCCGAGTTGGTATTTCGTGGAAATTCAGCCTCCTCTCCAAGTCCTTCACTGATGAGTGATTCTCGTGTGGCTCTTTGCTCGTTTTCGTATTCTGCATCATCTTCCGCAGCTACCTCTTCAAAATCCCCCTCAGCCTCAGCACTATTCTGTTCCGCTTCAAGCCTGATTGACTTCTTGATAATATCCCCGACCTTTTCCACATCGTCGTCGTTCGCGAAATCCAAAGTATGGTAGTCCATATATTCTTCAAGGCAAGACCATCCGCGCTTCAAGAGCCACTCATAGATCCCTTCGTCTTCGTTCCGGACTCTGTAAAGATTTTCGAGTTTTTCTTGCTCGCGAACTTCGATATAGCGTTTTAGATTGCTATCCCTCGATTCGTCTGGGTCTTCATCTTCATCGTAGTCCTCCCAGTCGCTGTCGTCGGTCATTAGATCGAGAATTTCGCCTCTCTCTTGATTATTATCCCGTTCGTTCTCTTCGACACCGTCTTCATCACAATTTTTCTCCTTCATACCCCCATCCATATCCTCTTCATCCATATACTCCTCACTTGCTAACGCATCGCAAAGAAGCTTCTCGAATTCCGCGTCCAGTTTCTCATCCATGTCTTTGTCCTCCAATTCCTCCAACTCATCCTCGTCCTCATCGGGTCCCCAGTCTTGCAGCTCCTTATTTGCGAACGGGTCGCTGCTTCTATAATTGCACAAGACTTCTTCGGCTTTCATGTAATCTGCCGCACTTGTTGGATCATATTTATGTGTAACCATGAAGTCTTTGAAAGTTTGCCAGCCTCTTGTATTGAGCCATTCGAGCCGAGAGAGCCTGCAGGTATAGCTTGGTCTGTTCATTGTTGCTAGAGATTGTGGAAGAAATTTATATGTCTTAGGTTGTGCTGAGATCTTTTTATCTTTGAATTGAGTTTTAGAGAGTAGCAAAGACTTTAAAAATTGATAGACTGTACATTGACTCTAATGATCAAAACATGACTCGAAAAGCTCTGGCAATATGGAAGAGAACTAGCTATCTAATAACCTGAAGAAGTTTTCAAGATAAAATTCGGAGTATCGGCTTCGGGTAGTGCCGTCAAGACATTGACCACAAATGGACTGGCAATAAAACTACAAGATATTTAAAGCTCTCAAGGTGAACTACGGCTATCCCAGTGCCTATTTACCACTTGGATCTTGTGAGATATTATTTGAATCGCGAGCATTCACTTCCTTTGCAACCCATCGAGTGGTTCCAATTTCAAGAGGGCAAGTAATGAACGAGTATCTTGTGGGAGCATGATACAATGCGTTCCACATGTATTGTTATAGTCGCTTACAGATTTTCAAGCTATTGGGAATGGCACAATTTGCTCAAAAAAATTCATTCGATGTTTATAGTACAAAATATAATATGGAACATGATTTAGATAGTCTGGTTCTACAACATGTTCAAGCACATGGTATATCGAAGGAAAGTTAGTGTAGGTGACACAAGGTGAAATAGGTAAAGAACATAGGCACAGAACTTAAAGTTATATTCATCATTTCTTATTCTATGAATTTCATATTCTATTGCACATCAGTCATTTGAAAAGGTGCTAAAATTCTCCAATGCTCAAATAGTCATAAGTTGAGCATAGCAAGGCACACAATCATTTTAATACATCGCAATTTACAAATCTTAGATGGAATTAAATAGGTGTCGATGTCTTCATTTTGCAATCTCACAGCCAGCAAGTACATAGGCATTTCTTTTTTCTGTCTCCATGAAGAACTAACCCTCTGTCATTCCTGTGCTTCTGTTCTCTGCTTTCCTTCGATACACTTGACAATCTCATCCAATACTGCTGTGCTGGGAGTCTTTAGCCTCTAAGCTAATGAAATATTCCGCTGCATAACAGCCCATATAGTTCTGATTGAATAGTGGCGTTCAAGGATGTCTAATCAAAAAGTCCTCTTGTTTAATGAAACATTTCTCAGCAGGATATAATATTAACAGGATCATTTTCTGCAGAACTTAAAATATCTTCATACTCTGCCACGTCGCCAAAATCCAGAGAACCAATCCTATCGCACTCATATAGCCCGTCATTGTCAGTCTGAATCTCAGATCTCCCATTCGCACATGCCACATCCTCAACAAATTGCAAACCCATAGCAGATAAACTCTGCCCAGGAACAAAAATCCAGTCGCTTTCACTCTTTCCCCGGAGACCATAAAGTAGACGCAGGTCATTTGAACACATGTGCCTAATATACATCCAAAAACAAATACGAGGATTTGTGCAAGAACTTTCTGAAGATGTGGCTCGGTTATCGTTAGGACTAAGGAGCGACGAGTCAGGGTGAAATTTAAGCGGGGAGTTTGGTTTTCATGGATTTCACGACGATAGTTGCGGTTGCGACGCTCGAGGATGAGTTCTCGTGCGTATCGGGTCATAGCTAGGCCAAGATATGTTCGCTGCATCGTGTGGAGCCAATTTTGTTCCTCTCGAGTTGCGTGAAGTCGAGCTCGTCTTTCATGCAGTCGTTCTTGCAAGTTTGGCATTTTGGCAGTTGCGTTTTGCTGTTTTTGGGAGTTCTTTCTGTAAAGTAGTTTGATTACTTGAATAGATGGAATAGATGGAATAGGTTTTCATTCCTGTTGAGCTGGCTGTTGTAAATCTATATATGCTAGAAACTCTCAACTAGAACTAGCACACTTGATCTGGCACGGCTTGCTGAATCACGTCTTGACCGTATGTAGAGTCCATCCAGAAGCACAAGCTTAGAAACGATCTACGGTGCCAGTCCTCATCGCCGTATTATATAAAACGTAGTACCGTATCGATTATGCTTTGAATCCTATATCGTATAGCGTTGGGTCGTAACAGACTTCTTCTTTACAATTTTAAGTGGTCATATATTGAAAGAGTCCAAAGATGATAACATCGGCCAAGTCATGCATTGAGGTACTCTGAAATTGCATGGCAATTTGAGATTCACACTTCAGGTCCGATTCTCGAAAAATAGTTTGTATGAGAGTTGAAGACTGATTTCCTTAGTACTATGTGATCATCTCTAGGTATAATCTGCCAAAGAGAAGTCGTTTCCATCTTCATTTCCTCTTCATTCCACCTTGTCCACAATCCAATATCTCCACTCCTCAAACAACCGCTATCTTTTCCCAATTAATCATAACATTGGAGTATCAAGCTCTATTGCCAAGTATCCAAAACCCACACCCATAAACACGGTTGTCAAAGCAAGAAGCAACTTAGCCCTTCTACTAAATCCCTCCGACCATACAACATTCATACACCAATGGATACTCAAGTGAAGCCACATTCTACCCCCAACCTGGACCCCAATTTTAAGACAAGCCTCCTCGGGAATACCACAGCTGCAAACAATGAACAAGGCAACGCGTAATAGTATCCAGATCAAGATGAGAGATAAGATAAACATGACTTTTCCCATGTTGAATTGGAAGAATAAAGAAATCCTTCTACAAGTAGTAATCAATTTGAACTTGATTGGGCCGAGATTGAGAACTCTTGATCGTGCTTCGTCGACGAGGGTATTGAACCCTTCAAAAGAGTAAGCTCGCTGCCATTTGTTTAACCACTCTGTGAAGTCGACCGGACGGCCATTAATAGTATATCGCCGGGGCGGGAAAGGCAATTGCTCCTTGAAAACAGCCACCAGGATGCTATTTCAGATCAATATTGAGTTGTTCGAATATATGTATCTTGGTGAAGTTTGATATTGGGTCGCTTGTTGGATAAAGCCTTCGTTCATTCGGACTGATTATGAGGAAGCTTCTGTAAGATCTTTGGTACCTGTCGATTATGTTAGTTTGTAAGTCAATCAAACGTAATTGTCCGTTTCTACAAACCGTATTGGTATGACATGCTAGTCGATGCGCGAGATTGATTACGGAGATACGGTCAAATTTTCTTCCTGTGAAAAGGTTTGTTTTTGGCATTCGAGTTCCAATTCAAGCTCGTACAAGTAATTCATAACTGTAGTACAAAATCTTTCCTCGCGTATTTTCCATCACTATATGACCAACTAAAAATTCACTCGATGACAGAAGTACTCTAAATTATGGCCGTTAAATTACAGTTCACCAATCCAACATATTTTCAAACAAAATGATTCCACAGGAAGAACGGTGATATCCTCTTAAACCCCCTATAAGCAAAATAATCAGCCAGGTGCGCGCCTCTTTTATCCACTGCCCCTTTTATTCACCCACGAAGCTCTCACTCCATTCACGATTATCGATTTTCTTTGTCTTATACACCCTGTCAAACTATTTGGAGGCGTCTTTCACGTCAAACCTTCTAATTGTTAGCGTCAAGATAGGTTTTAATTTGTTCATCACTAACTCCTGTCCAATGCAATTGTCGGGTTACAATTCAAAAGGTCTTCAGGCCCAATCGGCAGGATATTATGGATGCCCTGGTCATATCATCAGAGGGTTAGGAATGAAGGAATCAGTCGGGGGCCAATATTCTGGGCTCCGATGGATAGCTTGGTGTAGTAGTTAAATCAAGGTGTTGTTTTCAGTCAAGATTTGCGACCACATGTGATCTGCCACAAAAAGACTTGATGATTTAGATAAACTTCCTTATTTGGGTGGTGATTAAAGTCTATAACTTGTGTCCCTCTGGTGTCAACACCAGTCTTCTGGTTACTTTTGTACCAGTACAATGATTAAGTATCTCCTGAAGCATGATCTCCCAAACGACCATCTTTACGCAACTTTCACAAGTAAAAAGATATGACTTCTTAATCTTTTGCCGATCCCCACTACCATAAGACGGGTATGACTGCATCACTAGTTAGTTATCATAAATATTCCTCAATTACTGTCTGTGAAACATACCCTCAAAGTTCCCATAAATTCAACTGGTTTCTTGTCATCTAGGATGATCTCACTTGGACTAGTGCTACCGCCTGCGGAAAATTGCTTTCCATCTTGATTACCGGGAGCATGCGAACGAGTTCCAGCATCATGATTCGTGGCACTATTGATTTGCGTCTGTTCGGAAGTATTTTGAAAGCTAGTGGATCTTTCAGCCTTAGATATTGGTTCCTCCTTCTTGTTGAACGCTCTAACTGCCGCTAGGATAAGCTTGCCCTGTTCGTAACTGTCGTCATCTTCGATTCTTAGTTGATAAGAAACCATAAAATGATGCATCGACTCCCAGCCGTTCTTCTTGAGCCAAGCGGAATCAGTCATTCGTGGTGCCTTAATTGAAGAATTCATGGTTGCAGAACTGGTATCGTTCAGGAGAACTGAGGTTGATCTGTTTGTAGAGTTTTGTTTTTAAGGTGGATCGTGTTTTCGGAAATAAAGCATTCGGGGTAGCGATCTTATAGATACGAATTATGGCGAGAAATCGAGAAGCTTAGTGCGGGGTAGTCACCTTTTTCATCTACAGTAGCACCTTCTGAACAATTGGTTTCTATAGGAGTGAATGGAAGCTAGTACCGCAGTTTACAGCGAACCCTTAGATTGCCGAGCTTATTTTCAATGATGTATTGACTAGCGATTCATAAATATCTCAACAGATAAAAATATTAGTCCTTTCTTTTCCTTTATCTTATTTCAATTCTAAAGTAGTTTCGAAGATGTTGCTTGTAGATTCCCTGTGATGGCCCTGGCATATTTGAACCTAAACACATCTCAGAAAGTTTTCGAAGGTGCTCCTCCCCTCGTGGGAGAACCAGAAGATGACTGTGTGTTGTTTTCAAGTGGACCGACTAATTCTAAGGACTGATTTCCAATTTCCGACCATTAGCTATTCTTGGCCAGACGGATTGTAAGGATATAATCTTTGGATTTGAGCTTTGCAAAGTAAGAGGAACTTTACACCTTGTTCTGCTCCAAAATGCCCAGGTGCAACTTTCAAAATCGTACTCGAAGCAGTCCTTGACATAAGATCGTGGTGCCATTGTTCTTTTGATATTTCAGAACCATTGGGAACCTCGGAGACTTTCGCCCTAAACTAGTATTCGGGAACTCTTGTATTCATTTATGATATTCGAGTAAAGTGATCGAAATTGGGTTGTGGCTGTGATGGCATGTAGTCTGCTCAGCCGCTGTCTAATAATGAGGTCATCGTGCTGTCTATTCGCTATTTGTTTTGTGGGAGCATTAAAGTCTCGATTGCATATCAGAGTAATGAACGTAGAGTTTTTTATGTGATATTTTTGGGTGAAAAGCTTCGGGGTTGAGGAATGAAAACACCAATATTTGAAGTGGTAATATGAAAGGGAATACAACTTAGTCGAAGGAAGGTATAGCTATGTGGACTTCTTTCAGATGCTCTCTCTTAGATCTTAAGTAATCAAACTCTCTTGATCAAGATTGAGTCTCTCTTTAACATGCTGATCTCGGTGGCAAATTTACGCAAAAGGATTCATTTTCAAATTTTGGGCCCCGTTTCTTTCCAGTCGCTTCCCCAGGGTCCTCGTCTTACACAAGAAATACTTCGTATTTATCCTCAAAGATGTAGTATGGAAACTTAAGCCACAAGAAACTTACTGAGTAGACTTCAAATTATGAAGTAACTGAGATGGCAAAGCTTGAATCTCAAGAGCAATGCTGAAAAAGCCGTTCCTGAACTTTTCCGGGAGTATGAATTCCAATCCAACCGGTCAAATAACGTGAGAATTTCTAGCAGGATCCCCATTGTGTTGCTCCTCAAAACCCTGTTTATTGCCACCATTAATGTCAGTGAGAAGCCCACAAGTACTCCATAATTGACAGACTGGCTATTATCGTAGTCGAGAAAAATCGAAGCATCCAAACAATTCCGCGGCTTTCAATACATTGTTATCTATCAATTGAGTGATATTAGGTGTCGAGGCCAGAGTGAAATGACCTGCTATCAGCATTGCTGGTTATCGAATTGATATCCTATCAAACTTCCAAAGGTACTCATTCGGCATCTAAGATGGTCAAAAATCGTTATCTAATATGTTGAATGTCGCCATCTAAGACCAGGGAAAAAGAAAAAAAACTCAACTGGGTGGTAAAATAGTTGGGGGCGGGAAAGTATGAAAAAATGCACAAAAAAGGATACACTTTGATATCGATCAAAGTATGTCTATTATGACCACTGTTTCACAACATTGACAAACAGTGATGAATATGCAGGAAAGTGAAAGAAGCGATAAAGTTAAGGTTCTAGAAAAGTGAGACTATTCCCACTTGTGGATTAAACTTACCTCAACCTTAATTCAAACTTTATTTAGCATCATTACTAATTGATGAGATCATTATTTTTCTTGAAGTTGAACGACTTACATTAACTTAAATTTATACAGTGCCGGTGTTAGTGAAAAGTACTCATAAAAGATTGCTTTAAGATGTCGAAGAATTGTGAAAAAAGCTATTGTACTCGCACCCATACTCTAACTCATTTTTTGCAGCACTTTTTCTTCTAGAGTGAAGAGAAATGTCTCCAATGAAGAACTACAGCACGGATAAAAACTATAATCGGAGGAGAAAAACTCTAAGTAAGAGGGGATATCGAACGAAAGAGGGCTGACAAGAACAATCGAACATCTGTAGTGTTGGGTTGTAAAAGAGATGGCTATGGAATGCCCTCAGCGTCTGTCGCTTGTTCGTTACTCTGATTGCATAGTATCTGTTCGTCGGTCGCTTTGATCGTATTCATGCGGTAACGGGTTCTCATCACACGACTTCACATACGTACATCAATGATGTCGCCGTATCGAACTTTATCTTCCTTATATATATCTCTTTCTACGAGCTTGCCCCCTTTATTTCTACACACAACTTTCCATGCACATGAGTATCGACACAAGCTACTCAAACACCAACATCCATCTTATCCAGAGATTGAATCTCACAGTTACCACACTATCAAGCGACAAACTTTTTATGAAACCACCACAAGCCGATACTATTTCATAAACTCTGAAGTTTATCAGCGAACTTAACTTACATCGAGTTTCCCCACAAAGCCCCAACCAACGCAGAGGACTTAAACACTTCATTCAATAATGTGTATCAGCTTCGCCTCTCCTGCTCCAGCCCACTCTCCCCTCGACTCTCTCCGCCCCGCCAATCCTACTCCTTATCATCCCGAAAACCTTCCATCAATCTTATCTCCTTTCTTTCGTCCCTCCAACCCAACTCCCTACCATCCACAAAATCTTCCCCAGGATCTTGAAGAGACACGATCCATATGCCGCGTTCTCAAAGAAGCGGGATTTGTCAATATAGAGCAATTCTTGGATTCGCATGATTTGAGAGATGATGAGAAGAATCGCATGTTGAGGGCCTGGGAGTTCAATGAGGGAATAATAGAGGACTGCCTGGTTCAGAATGCGAAAGAGAAGATCTTGATGCAGAGAGAAAACGAGATTAATAGTGGCAGAGAGAAGGAAAATGAGATCTTTGCCTCATTCGCTGGCATTAAGAAACATGCCAAGACCGTGAAATCAAAGGTGTTGGGTGAGAAGAGGAATTTCATCACTCATCAAGCACCCATACCCCAGAAAATAAGTGAAGAGATGAATTATAGCTCCGATGAATCTTATTTCTCTAATTGCTAACGGGGTGAAATATTCACTGGAATGACAATCAAAGATTGAGCGGTACAGTAGACCGGCTAGGAGATTCTATTCCCGCCGGACGGAATGATATCTTGTCAAAGGAGGTTGACGAAAACAAGATATAAAGCCTGATGCTGAAGAGTTCAAAGCAAGCCACAACGATGCTAGGCAGATACAATACTCCGTGCCTGCAACAAAGACACAAAGAATTACAATGAGTGTACTTCCGCTTTCGAACTGTTTCGTTGCAAGGAGGAATGATAATAGCGATGAGTTAATGAGATCATTGTTTCGCCTCATGAGATCGATCCCTGATTACCAAAAAGTGGGGGGGAGGGGGGCAAATGGTTGAGCACATGGTATGCACGTGGCATGGTTTTAGTTGGTTCATGCATGGCTAGCGTTGGGGAAGCGAATGTCACCCGCTGAATTGAAATGTCGATCTACCAAACTTTATTTTACCTAGAACTGTGATGTGATTTGTGAGAAAATGCACATTAGTACTTCGACCTTGCTAGCCCTCTTTAAGCCTTGCAGAGACTCTTGCGCTATTAGGCTAGTGTGATTCCCCGGTTTCAATGTTCGAAATCTAACCTACCAAAGCATGAACTCCTCTTCTCAAGTTCTCATCCCCTACATCAATAAACCGCGCGATTTTGGAATTCTCTCCATGTCCAAATTCATTGAATGGGGTCGGAGCTGCAAAATGAGAAAGAGACACGATCCCAATGGAACGATACATTGAGCTTTTCAGGTTAGTTCAGGAGATTTCGAACAAACATGAGAACTGTGGCTAGAGTGGTTATCAAGGAGGCATTTTCTTAGTTCTATACTACCGACCCGTCAAAACGAGTGCTGGAATCACATCAATATCCCACGTGGAATCGAAATGCCCATCTGATAGTCCTCGCCTTCTTGGTTATAAAATCAATCATCGTAGAAAAAATCACCTTCAAAGCCATCCTCGAAATCATCCTCGAACTCATCCTGATCATCGTAGACATCCCCATAACCGTCATTATCTCCATCGCCAACATAGTCATAACCAAAGGCCTCGACAAAATTATCACCATCTACCATTCCTCTATCAACATCAACATCGGCATTTCCATCCAATCCTCCTTCTCCAGATAAAACCCTACCCATTTCCTCCCCACCTCAGCCCCACGCAACTGAACCCCATCTTCCACTTCCTCACCGCCAACCACATCCGCAGAACCGATCAATTCTACTGCACCATCTCCATCCTCGGAGCTCTCCGGACCTCGTTCATCCTTGGCGCTCTCTTCATCGCTACCCCTTGCAAACACCAATCTTCTTAGATCCTCTCCCCTCAAATCCTCCTCCTTCATCCTCTCTATCATTTCCTTTGCCTGGGCAAGATGTTCATCATTATGTAATTTCAGTCCATAGGAAAACATGAAATCGTTCATGCTGCGGAATCCGGCATCTCTGAGGATTCTGTAGGTCGATTTTGGGGGCTTGGAGCTTACTGAATCGGTTGGTTGATGGGTATTCTTGGTGGATTGAGAAGAGGAAGAGGGTTGAATTTTGGTTGAGGTGTTCATTTGGGCGCAGATTTATGGTTTGAGGTGGGTGAGCTGTTTAAGTGTATTCCTTTTTGGCGTGTCAGGACTTAGGATTGGAAAGTATGTTGATGTTGATTGGTATTGTGGTTGTAGTTGTGGCTGTGTTGTAAATAGTCTGTGGACGGTGGAATATCTACCGGTCACTACACAAAAGAAACAGTGCTGATAAAACCATTTGGATAGAAAAGAATGAAGGCGGGGTAAAATACTCCATATTGTTCCACTTGGGGTTTGCTTGCTAGCTAATGAATTGGAATAAGTGAAAAGGAAGAATTGAAGTGAAATGAATGATTGTTCAGTAGAATCCGACCTTCTACAACTTACGCGAGCCGGCTCCTGGATTCCTTTGATCCTTGTAATATTTTCATGCATAATTCTTTGTAGTATTCAAAATAGTAGGTGATAATTATATTCATATATAACTTGGAATCGTGAAGACAAGATTATTCTCCTCACATCCCTCCCCACATGAAACCTAGTCAGCTTCCAACTCCTCTCCAGCATTCCTCCTCTTCATGGACTCTCAAAATAATGAATCCCATCCGTCAACGCTACAGTGATAATCTGCGTAACCTTCTGTCCATCCGCACTCTGATCTTCTGGAAGTCTTTGTAGCACATTATTTGTAAAGGCCTCATGCCCCGCCAACAACAAGCCAAGACCAGCCACGATAGCACCATCCAACCCTTGCTCTTTGAACAATTGCTTTTTCCCCTTGAGGGTATTTACAGCAATAGGGTTGTCGATTGTGAGAGTAACGTTCACATGTTCAATGAGTGATTGTGCGTCTGATTCTGTCATTGAAGGGGGTAGGAGAGCGGAGTCTGTGACACCTTGTAAAAGAGAAAGGTAGACGGCTGTGAGAGAGCCGAGAAGGGGAGCGGCGGAAAGAAGGCCACCGTTGTAAAGAGCGGTTTGAGAAGTGAGAGCTCGGACATTGTTGTCGAGGGTTGTGATGTCGTTCTTCACTTGGGTGACGGTTGTAAGGGCTAATACGGTCGAGGGCCATAAGAGGAGGGCTTTGATAGATACCATTTTGAGTTACAAGGCGTGATTTATGATGGATTGTGAAAGTATATCAAGCTTTTGACATGGATGACTCAAAAAATCAAATCAAAAAGATTGAAAGAAGTACCAAGTCTGATTGAGTAAAGAAGGCACGGCGAAGATAAACTTTTATAGGAAGTACTTATTGAGAGATCGCCCACTAGGAAGGGATCCTTCATCAATCGTCAATTATTCCCAACCTAGGATTAATATCTTTTCAGAAATAGTAACCTGCAACCAAGCCTTGGTGCTCGTTAATGGTGGATCGGATCATCAGGTCAGATCGATTTAGTTATGGATTGAATTAGATTGAATATCATAAAACGACAGCTTATGAGAGAATGGCTTGAATAAAATCATGCAACTATTCTTAACATTAGATAAACCCATCGAACTGTTGAGTTCTAGTCAGCTGTTCATTTGAAGACGTGATTATATCATCAAACACGCTGTAGATGGAGCCTGCGAATGGTTGATAAACTTTTGAAGTAGCTGACAACAAGGTACCAAACGATCTACGGTGGACTACATTGAATAGCGTTGTGATGTGCAGCGCTATTTGATAGACACCGAAACTATTCACAACCCATTACCATGTGGTTAACCGAACCGCCTAGGCCATTCGGCACATGTGGCTGGCACGCGAGGCACGTGTCAAGGATGTGATAGCGATCAATCGTTCTGCAGAAGGGTTCGAGCAACATTAGGGAAACAATGATCTTCACTTCGTACATTTTGTACAGTTTGGAGGAGATCGAGATGCCAGAATATTCTTCATCGCGCAGTCACCTGTTTGCTGTCTCTGCACGGTACCTGACCGAGGCACACGGGTACCTTACCCCGCGAAGTATACCTGATCCCCAGAACTTAGAATGCCGGGCTCAGCTTGTAGCTCCTCCATGTGCTTTGACATGTCGACTGGCAACTCATGTGGATGATTAGATGCAGGCACTATTCCCGAGTTTGTACCTATAGTGCGCTTGAGGTTGAGTGTCCTATGCCGCTGTGTGAGTTCTTAGAAAGAGATACAGCATCCGTGTTATGGATAGCCTAGATTCCATCGTATAGTACGTCGAACGATGTTACTTATCGATCTCAACTAGATGTAGATAGAAAAGCCAATTTTTATACTAGAAAATAGCTGTGCACACAGCCAGAGACACGCACGCGCTCAAGAGAGAGAACTCATCGCCGTTCTGCCGCTTCCAGCTTCCGGGGCGGTGAGTCTAGACTTTTTGGACTTTTACATTGTACACGGCTCCGGAAATAACTTTCAAGATGGTTCTTATTCCCAGTACATGGTAATTTTCCTAATTTCTTGTCCGAATCTGGAGGTGGAAGTTGAAGAAAGTCATCTTTTTTTCAGACATGCAACAAAAACATAATTGTGTGTTGAGATCACGTGATATGCCTTGGCAGAATAAAACGGTGACCTGTTGAATTATGTAAACAAAGCGAATGGAAAAATGATTGTAATAGCTCTTCTTCCCCTTCTGTCTCTCATTACTAACTTCGATTTATTGCATTGATTAATGGCTCATCTTCATCTCAGACCTTGAGTTATGAAGAAGGACATGTTATCAGTGCTCGTGTGGTAGTGCCTGGAGTACCCTTGGACAACCTTCGAAGATCAATCAGTTGGGACCCGCTCCTTCATGATAACGCTTACTGGCAGAGATGGCCTGAATGGTGCAATTTGGTAGCATTCTTACCCTTTGCATGTTTATATTACGGAGGTTGGAGAAGTAGGTGAATCTGTCGACTGTACTCCGTATATGGCTTTTATCATATCAACATCTGTGAAGAGATGGAACAACTTGACGGGTCTCTTTCTACCTCGATAAAGACTTCAAGTGGATTTTGATTATCCTATCTTATAACGACTTGAAAACATCCGGGTTCCATTCGACGAAGAGCTGAGCGATATGAATGGCATCCCCAAATTGGGAATGCTCTACTTGGTTCACCGACAGGAAGTACCTCGTCTAGAGCTCGGATGGACAAATGTACACGATATCATCACACCATCACATTATCACATCTTACTCTTTATCCACCGGATCTCTTTCCGAATTTGACCCGCACATAACCTTCCTCGCCACATGGTAACGCCACCTTCTTGGGAAATCTAGAGGTTGCATTGTCCTGACTAAATTTGCCAGGTACGAAAGTAGCTTAAGGTACCAGCAATACCAAGATTCGGGGATTTCCGACCATTGGCCAATCATGTTATCTACTTTTATCAATTGAGGATATATAATGCTATCGTATAACAGCTTGTATCATGAATTATCATGGATCATTCATTAATGACAGCAAATATCCCTGACCCCACCTTCCTTTTCGGTAAAGGTCCGTCAGCTCGGATAAGCAGACCATCATTTTCCCAGCCCATCACAACATTCAACAACTAATTTATATTGCCAGGGACAACATTTTACCATGAGTATGGAAATTATGAAAGAGGTACTGATCTTCTCCAGATCTAGTACCTTCTTCCGTAATTTACTTGATTTTCAACATTTCCAAGACTTTTGTTACTAAATGAATCAATTTACGTCTTATCGTGAAGTCGTATAACATATATACACCTTCCTGATTGGGATTCACTAAACGTAAAGTTACATGACAGCTGCAACTAGGTTTAACGTGCGGGGTTTGAGGTACCAGAAAATGGAAAGTTTGACAGGGTCTACTTTTACTACATATTCTCCAAGCTCTCATATTTTGTTATTCTCCATCTCTATCATCCTACTCATCACCAATTCATACCATTCTTTGAAGCTGTGATCATGGTTGGGTTTTCGGCTCTCATTTCTACAGCTTTAGCTGCTCAATCAGCTCTCGCGAGTTCAGTCATTCGCTCGAGAACGAATTATGCAGTCAAAGAAAGACACTATGTTCCTAGACAATGGAAGAGAGTTGCTCGTGCTCCTGCTGAAGGTATCATTAATTTGAATATCGCATTGAAGCAGAGTCAATTCGAAGAACTTGAGAGACAATTGTATCAGGGTTAGTCAAAGTTCCAACTTGTTGCATTCGAACCGACAAAACTAACATATTCTTTACAGTTTCCGATCCGTCCCACCAAAAGTACGGCAATCATCTGACTTCCGAGGAAGTCGATGAATTGGTTCGACCATCATCTCAAACTCTTGATTCAACTCACGAATGGCTTCTTGAGAACGGAATTGACGCTTCAAGCTTAAGATACAGTAGTGCAAAGGATTGGATTCATCTCTCCATACCAGTCAAGGATGCTGAGCGCTTGCTCGATACTGAATACCATGTTTATGAGCATGAAGCTGGTGGTCAGATTATTCGTACTCCAAACTGGTCACTTCCTATGCATCTTCATCAGCATATTGATGCCATTCAACCAACAACTTCATTCATGCGTGCCGCACCAAGATCTAGTTACAATCCAAGAGAGGCAAAGATTAACTCAAGACACACCAACGTTATTGAAGGTCAACTTAGTGCAGGGCAGACTCCATCTGGATATACTCCTCCATCAAATACCACACTTTCGGCACTATGTGACGTTGCTGCAGTATCTCCTCAATGCTTCCAAGCTCTCTATGGAACCGGAAGCTACAAGCCAAAAGCGGCTGGAAAGAACAAGATTGGATTCAACAATTTCCTCGGGGAAGTTCCAATCAGACCAGATGATGCCTTGTTCTTACTCAAGTATCGTCCAGACGCAGTAGCCTCTGCATATCAATTCAAATACGTCTCTATCAACGGTGGGCCAGTTCAAAACACCACTCTCACTGGTGAGCAACTGGCAGATGGACTAGGCAAAGAAGCCAATCTCGATCTCACAGCTATCACTGGAATCAGTTACCCAACCCCAATTACCGCCTACTCAACCGGTGGACAGCCACCCTTCAATGCTTCAATTGGTACAGATAGCAATACCAACGAACCATATGCTGATTGGTTAAACTACGTTCTCGCACAACCTACCACCGAGATCCCTCAAGTTATTAGTACATCCTACGGTGACGAAGAACAAACCGTCCCTGAGTACTACGCCAAGCGTGTCTGCGAACAACTCGCTCAATTGGGTGCTAGAGGTGTATCCATCCTTTTCTCCTCTGGAGATTATGGAGTTGGAGACAACGGTACATGTATATCCAATGATGGAAAGAACACCACAATGTTCGTTCCAGATTTCCCAACAAGTTGCCCATACATTACTTCTGTTGGAGCTACCAAATTTTTCGAACCAGAAGTTGCTGCTTATCGTGCTACCGGTATTGATCCCATCAACGGTGTTTATCATGGTGGTTGGTCTACTGGTGCTGGATTCAGTAACTACTTTGCTAGACCTTCATACCAAGAAAAAGTCGTTTCTGCTTACGTCAAGAAACTCAATGGTACTTTCGATGGCCTCTACAACAAAAGTAAGTACCTTCTCTTCTCACCTCGCGTATAGAAATATCACTAACAATTTCCAGCTGGTCGCGCATACCCTGATATCTCTGCCCAAGGGTTCTACTTCGCCTACGTCTGGAATCAAACCTACGGCTCCATCTCCGGTACATCTGCCTCTACGCCCCTTATGTCCGGTATTATTGCTCTCGTCAACGATGCTCTTTTATCAAAGGGTAAACCAGTGCTTGGTTTCTTGAACCCATGGTTGTACAGTAAGGGATACAAGGGTTTCACCGATATCCTCAGCGGAAGCGCAGTCGGATGCGATACTGCTGGTTTCCCTGTCACTGAAGGTTGGGACCCTGCTACTGGATTCGGTACTCCTAATTTCCCAGAGTTGTTGAAACTTGCTGGGGCCAACTAGATAAAACTCAATTGGGTTGGCTGGTATTATAAAGAGGATAGTGACTAGGTGATCGGTAAAATGAATGCATGAAGCATGATGAATAGATAATTCTAATGATATAATGATTACGCTCAAATTTGTTTTTATTGGTCATGTCGTGAAACTCACGATCCCATGCGACAAACGTTCAACGGTAGCCTTGGAAGGACGCAATTAAAGAACCAGTCAAGTTGCAATATCATCTTTGACAGAATCCTCATATACAGACCGGTTTTCACTGGAAGAGTCATCTTGCTTCAAACCACCCTCCTGCTGTGGGCTAATCTCTTGTTCCAGTTCAGTTTCTCGCTTTGGGCCAATCTTATCAAAGTCGTGGTTTGGGTGTGTCGTATCACTTGTGAACTTACATTTTTCACAAAAGTCAAAGTCTGCGCAATTTTGACAATGGAAACGGAGGCCGCGCATCTTTAATGTGTGAATTAGTAAGGTTCTAAATAAATACACTTCTTTCGTTTACTCACCTTACAATTGCATCCGTCGCAGAGAAATGACCCGTGTGACATACCTGCTGGGGGCAGAATTTCATCGGGAATAGACAACGACTCGAGTAAGATCACAATATTGTTGTGCTTGTTATAGCTTGCGATCTGCCGTGGAGTCCACTTTTTAATTGACTCTCGTACTTGGGCATCCGAGTGAGAGTCTAGTTCAAGAAGCATTTTTACAACTTCCGAGTCGCCAGCCTGCGCAGCCCAGTGAAGGGGAGTCCAACCGTTGATATCTTTCCGGTGATAGTCGTATTCATTGGGAGAGAATTGAACTATCAGGTAAGATACCATATCCATCGATCCGCTGACAAAAGCGTGGTGTATGAGGTCCCGATCCTGCAGATCATGGGAAGTTGGTCCGAACAGATGCAATCCTTCGGAACTTTCTTTGATCAGCTTTTTAAGTAGAGACAAAGCGCCGATTTGTGCTGAGAACTGAAATGCGGTTCTTCCTTGCATGTCTTTCGATTCCGCACTAGCGCCGAAAGATAAAAGATGATCCACAATGTTCTCGGCTCTCCACCAAATAGCTTCTTGTAGGGCATTTTGAGCGTACTTCTGTTCTCTTTCAGGTTTAGCGCCCGATTTTAGTAACAACAGTGCAAGTTCCTCGTCTTCTGCATAAATCGCCTGCAGTAAGCACGTTTGCTCATATTTTCCCCATTCCTGGTTTACACTGGCTCCTTTTTCCAAAAGTAATCTGATAATATTCATATTCCTATAGATAACCGCTAACGCCAACGGTGTTTCATTTGAATTATTTGCCTCATTGATACACGCTTCCTTCTCCAGAAGTAACCTTGTGATATCTTCGTTTCCAATGCGAGTAGCCGATAATAGTGGTGTCTCGCCTGTGTTGGATGCGACATTTGTTTTCGCCCCTTTATCTAAAAGCAATCTGGTGATGGTTTCATTGTTGTAACGAACTGCTAACAGAAGTGGTGTTTCATTTACTTCATTCGTTATTTCGACATTTGCGTTCGCGCATAAAAGGCATTCCGTGATTTCGTTAAATCCGTGGCGAATCGCCAGCAAAAGAGGCGTCTCCTTAGCATTATTCATCGCATTTACATGCCCTTGATTCCTTAATAGTAGCTTTACAGTCCCTAAAAAGCCTCCTCTACTTGCTTCGATCAAAGCTATCGATCCACTGTCGGCGTCTTGTGCATTAGAACTAACACCTAGATTTAACAATTGCTCCACGAGATCCTCATCACCAGTACTGCACGCCAAAGTCATTATAGAATCGAGTTGCTCCATATATGGATCTCTATTCGAGACGCTCTTAACTTCTTCACCGAGTAGAAACATCACGACCTCCAGATGCTCGCATTTCAATGCCCAGATGAGTGGAGTCCAGCCATCCGTGTCTTGGGCGTCCAACCTAGCATCGAAATCCATAAGAAGCTTGACTATTTCGAGGTTACCCTTTTCGGCAGCGAAAGAGAGTGCGGTCTGCTGGTATCTGCTATTTCTTTTCTCAAGTTCAGCACCATGCTCAATTAAAACCTTGACACATTCTATATGTCCACATATCACTGCATGGCAGAGAACATTATTCCTGTCATTGTCAACCTCATTGGAGTCCGCGCCGTTGGCAAGAAAGAGTTCTGTTGCCTCGTGTTTACCATTTTCGACAGCAATAAACATGGGTGAATTCTTTTCCACAGGCTCATGTTTCAGAGCAACGCCGCTTTCTATGAGTTGAGTTAAAATATCCAGCTGGCCGCTCTCTGCTCCCCAAGAAAGAGCTGTGCGTCCACGGATGTCTCTAAAATCTTTGTCAACGCCAGCTGCAAGAAGCTTTCTGACTCCAGGCTCGTATCCTTGAGACGCTGCCAGCATAAGTGCAGTGCGGCCATAATGATCGGCTAGATCGATATACAATGATGACTTCAAAGGAGAAGAACTATTGCTGGGTTTCCATCGCTTCAATATCCTATCTACCATCGTGTCAGACTCGGCAACCACTGCTAAGTGAAGGATTGATCGACCATCCTTGGTATACAGCTGGCTCATGTCAACTGCGATTTCCTTCCAGGCAATAAGAAATTCGAAAGGCGTCTTCAAGTTATTTTCAACAGCCCAGAGCAATAATTTTCCGCCTTCAACAGTTAAATTTTCTTTTTCCAATAGTGATTTAATTACCGAAGCTAGCTGTTCTTCTTTCGAAAGTATTTCCGCCTTCCCAGCTTGTTTCAAGTTCCTAGCTTTCTCATCGACACCAACTTTGTCGTTTGAATTGTCTGGATTGTCCCGGTGTTCACTTTCCAGAATTCCACCTGAAATATTTACAAGGTGACTGGGCTCTTCACTAAGATCTGGTCGCGGCAGAGGAGGGCTCTTCATTTTCTGTTCCATCTCAACAGCCACGTTTAAAGCTTTTTTGTCGTCTTTGTCTTTGATTGCAACACTTGCCTCTTTCTTGATAAGTATTTCGATGATCTTGGCTCTATTAGAAGATCCATCGGTGTCTATGCCCTTCACTGCGACATGTAGTGCAGTCCGCCCAAGCCTGTTCTGCGCATTGAGATCCTGGGCGTTGACGACTTTTTTGAGAAGTATTTCCAAAATTTCTGAATTTCCACCGAGGGCTGCAAAGTGTAAAGGAGTCATGTCCGAATAATCTTTGAAATTTAGTGTCTTTTCATGTAGCTCCGATCCCAGAAGTAATTTGGTGGCTTCGATATTTCCTGTTTTCACGGCCCAATGTAACGGAACAAGGCCATCTCTCCCCTGGAATGGTCTTGCGTTGGCGACCAAGAGTTTTTTGATAATTTCTTCTGCATTAACTTGTTTCGAGTCGACGTTTAGTTTCATGACGGCGTAGTGCAGGGGGGTACGGCCGGCAAGGTCACATTTATTAACTAGCTCCTCCCCCTTCTCCACTAATTTCTGCACTGCTTCCAAAGAATAGATCACTGCGTAGTGTAGAGGTGTCCAACCAAGTATATCAGTAGCACTGGGGAATTGCCCCATGTGTCCTTCATCCAGAGATAAATCAGTATCCTCGATAACATCTTTCTGTAAAATTGTCTGCCCGTTTCTTGCCGATTTTTTGACCTTGTCTTTGGTTTTATCGTCTAGCAAGCCTGCCTTTCCAAAGTTCTTGAGCCGACCTTGTTTTGCGTAAAGTGACTGCAGCATATCTAGACATTTTTTATGTTTAGATCTCAGGATGTTGACCAACGTTCTTTTACTCTTCTCCAAATCTCCATCAGATGTTTCCATATATTTCTTAGTTTCTGAGGCAGATGTTGCAGTCACAAGGAAGTCAACGGTTGTGCTGACTACTTTGTAGACAAACTTCCTCTCTGGTGGTAGATCGTCGCACAGTTTCAGTAATTTTCTATAAAGATTGCAAGCAAAATCTCGATAGCCCAGTTCATTTTCTTTGGCGTTTTTTCGTACTACGTCCACCATGCCTTCGTTAGGGAGTTTATCAAAATAGCTAAGTGGGGGTATTATCAGTAAATTGGCGTCTTCCAACGTTCCCAGGCCAGAAGTCTTGACGGCTTTGATCATTTGCTTGATTTTTTTGTTGGTTAACCGGAAAGAATTCCAGTTCGGTTGCTTCTCATTTAGTCTGAGCTCATCATCCCCTGGTAACACAACTTCTGTTTGGTGTTCACTTCCCTTCTCAGATAGTGACAAGGAATTTACAATCGCCCACAAAAAGGTGGAAAAAATATGTTGAGCGAAAAATTTCTCCTTAAAAACACTGGCAATCATGGCATAGTGTGAGGATTTTAAGGAATCTGCTCCCTTGGTAATCTTTTTGTGGTCGACTTCTGCCATTGGAAATGTTAGAAAATTGCCGAGTATTCATGCTATCTCGGAATAACCATTGGAGCCCTCTTGATAAATACGACTAATGCCCAATGTCGAGTAGGCTGTAGGTGAGAAAATAAAGAAAATATTGGGTTTACCTGGCAGACAAAAACCCATGCTAAGACATTGTGTGTCATTTTCACCATCCCATGAAAACTCATCAAGTGCTTTAGCGCTCTCAATACCGGCCCACCACGCCATATCTCTTTTGAGTGTAGATCTTGAGGGGCCGATGACTCGTTGAAAGGAGTGTATATCACGAGCAATATTCTCAGTGCTATCCTGAGCCCGGTTACCGCTCTGGCAATTATAACTAGAATGATACATCCACAACGAAAGAATTGACTCAATGTCTTTGGCGGAGACGCTCCATAGGTTTGCTTCGGTCTTTCTTGTCGCGTGTAGTTTAATTTTTTGGGTGGTGGTGTCTTCATCTTTCCCAATCTTTACGTCAATGAGCCAATGAAAAGTAGAATCCGACCATCCTTCGAATAAACTCATGATTATTTCGATTGCTGAAGCCGCAGAGGCAGCGTTAGCTTTTATCACCGGGTCGGACCAGCCAGTAAGCTCTCGAAGACGGTTTCGTACGTTGAGAACCATCTGAGCCTTGAAGCTATCTTCATTGGTGATGGGCATCCATCCGGAAGTCACTTGAACGAGTGGATTTATTTGACTGCAAACCTTCCATGAAGGGTTATAGGGAGATATATATGGGTGACGAGCTGTCGATTTGCTAAGACTGCTCAAGTACCTGTCATCATTGCCAATTCTGAGTGCAAGCCAGTCAATTTCATATTTCTCCGGAATCATCTGGGCGATAGGTCTATCCAGCATACCCCGACGAATAATGGCTCGAACAACAGTCATTATCATAATAGCAACAAGCTGTGCGATTGAACATGCCCAGCTGATTCCGCGAAAGCCCTCGAATTGCAAAACGAACCCAGTGATTCCTGTAAATGTCCCGAGGACGCAAAGCGTATTGAGCCAAAACGAAACTGGTTGATCAGGTGGCCTAGATTTTGAGATGGAAACGGACTTCTGAGTGGTAGAATCATACGAAAGAGATGTTTTAAGTTCATGAGAAGCGAGATCTGAGAATTGAGTTTGAGGGCCAGATTTGCGCAACGAATGTACTTGATCAAAGCCAGATTCGCTGTCGAGCTGTGGAATATTCGATGTTTCCTGGGATGTAGAACTTAAATGTTTTCGATTCGATGGATTGTTGCTGCGAGACGATGTTAAGATGATGTCCTGTTCTGTTCCCGACATGAGCAGATATGATTCGAAAGTTTGATCACTGACTACAAAGTGTTTTTGAAGCCAAAAAACAAGGATCTTATTATTTTCTTTAGCCTTCGGGTTGAGCTTAGTTTTTTCTTTGCCTGAATAATGGCCGCATGCTTTCAAAATCAGTTCCCAGCAAGATTTTTGATGCCGCTTCGGGGTGAGACTCTCTGGATCTGAGTCTTTAGGTGCCTTGAAAGTAGGTTCTTGATCTCCCGTACCAAGCGTTGTTGTTTTTGCACATGATGCAAGGCCCGAATTAACGGTTTCTTTGCCCTTTTCCTCAGGCTTCAATTCCCACGCGACTTCATCAGTGCTCTTTCCGATAACCACAGCACAAATACCCATTCCAAGTACAAGAATAATTGTTCCACTAGCCAAAATAGGAAATGCATAGGCGCTTGGAGCTCCGCCCACCATAGCCCCGAGTCGGTTGTCGTAAGCAACAAACCCAGAAAATATAATAACACCAGCCTGGAGAACAATACCTAGAATAGCCGCGAGGGCCAATTCAAACATGTTTTGTTTAGGATGGGTGTTCAAAGAAATATTCGGTGCTCGATCCAATTCACCCTTTTCAGACCGAGCTTCTTTGCTTTTGTTTCTCGGGTCCTTGCTTGGCACTTCTACTCTCTTCACTGTTTTCCATAATTGTATGACCGCCTTCCACACTGATTGTGATTTTTCAACAAATGGACCCATGTACGCTTTCAAAGGGTTAAATCATCATCCTAGATTCAGAGAAGTATACAGGAATCTAGACAAACCTTTTGATCTCATCAAATCATCGTTATCTGACAAAGTAAAAAGTTCACAGTTCTCAGGAACCCCACGACCCTTCAGGAAGATAATTTGTTTAACTTTACCCTTTCCCATTGTCCGGACTATACCTTCTCCATTCCATAGCTCAGAAACTTCATGTGAAGTTGAAGACATAAAATCGAGCTCTGCTGAGGCTTTATTTTCACGAGCACGACCAATCAACGCTCTCAGATGCGGAGGACCACCAACACGAATAGCGCCTATGATAGCAGTAATGATGCCCAATGGAGCCATGGCGAAAATGATGTGGTCAAGCCATGTGAAAGATTCTCTTAGAAATTGTTGGGCAAAGCTATCACCGAACAATGCCAAAAGCCTGAACTTTTGTCAGCAATGAAAGTTTCTTCTCGAATACCTGGGTCAGCAACGTAACCATGAATAATAAATATACTTACGGTCCGAGATCTGAGAACAAATTATTGGTGACATCTGTTCCATCCGCAACGACCCGTGAAGCTAGAGATAGTAGCAGGATCGTTGGATACTGCATTTTTCCGGTAGTCCTTTACTGAGCGTATTAAGGCTACGTACTATCGATAAAGGAAATTCCAGGACTCGCAAGCCACTTGACGACATACAAAAACCTATTTGACAAGAGATAATATATGAAGTAGAGAAGTTCCCGAAAAGAAATTGTAATGAGAAGCGGTAGATGGTAAGTAAAGGTCAAAGAAGTCTCAAGGCTCATGGGTGATATCTCAACTCCTTCCATTCCATGAGCCCTGCTCCCACCATTACAATCGCCAGGATCACAATGAGACTGACTTACCTGTCCCCGCGCACCGATCCGCGAGATGGCGTATGGACCTTGCAAGTGCGGCAAAAATTTGCCAGGTTATATTTATCCATCAGCAAGGCAAATTCTCTATTGGCTATAGATCAATATTTGAGGTTTTCGAGCGGCAGAAATTCAATTGTGGAGTCGGAAGTCGCCATCCTGAATGCACGACGATTGATGATTATCGGACACAATTATTCTCTGCTACTGATATGTACGATAAACCATTAACCATGGTATCCTGCGACATCAGTATCGGTGTGTGTCGTGTTGCACATGATGAAATTTAAAATTTCCTACCCTACGCGACGCGCGAGCTTCCACGTGATGGGCAGAATTTATCCTGTTCTGGGTGGTGGCTCTAGCTTTTGGTAGGAAACAATTTCACCGCTAGATGACGCTCAGGTGTGTAACTAGTCAGCCTGCTCAGATGTCTCAGCCGCAATATACATAGCAAATTCTCATTCGCCATCTTTCTGCAATACTACCCTCCCAGCATTACTGAGTAGCAAGGTAGTCTAATCAAATGGTCAAATTCTAAGTCTGCAACCAAAATCGGAAGAGTTTGCGATTAGATCTTCATATATATATGGTTATATAGCGAGCACATGGAGTGAATCGTTTGGCACGAGATTTCCAGAGGATCACCGCAAGGATAAATGGAAAAGCTAAGTTGCATTTTCTCCTCGACGATTGAAGCTTGGAAGTTGTATTCTCCTTATCTGCGCCAGTGTTATTGGCATACTCAATCAGGGTCTAGTAGCGAATGGTATGGGTATTGAGTGGCTGCGAGTACCTACATGGTCATGAAATTTAGTAAGGAATTGTTTACTGTTGATACGCACTTCTTCAGTGTCTTACATATTCATACACCCTGCTTTCCGGGATATATCTCATGAGCTGGATAAAATGGAGATAAGCAGAAAAGATGAGTGATGGCGAGAAGAATCTCTTGTTCTAGACGCACATCATCTACCTACTACAAATACATGCTATACCAAGGGCATAGTAGGTATTCCCAGGCTCCACACACCGTAGCAGATATGCAACAAATTAATTTGAACAATTACAATGTTGTACTAGTGTGAATGGGTAGGATCGAACGCGGCAATCTTAGAGATTCCTCCTAAGATTCCGGTGCCTGCGAGTTCCCTCAACTCGAGGCTATCTAGCACAGCTCTATTTGGAAACTTCTGCACAATCCACCAGTACTTTCTCTCCTTTTGCGGATCTTAAGTTCCCACATGAGAAATCCGAAAAGATCCTATGCATTCGTTCCATTATCTTGCTTTCCCATACATGCCATACGTATTTCACATACATACATCCTCCTACATACTCTTCCCATTCCAATCCCCCTCAATATCCTTCTTTCATGGGGGTTTTTTTTTCAATGTAACAAAAGCTTTATCTACCGATCTCACTTTCCTAGCCTGGCTCAGCCGGGTCAATCTATACCCATTCTTTCATCTTCGATCAAAAGTATCCATGAGATTGCTTCACACAAAGTCGTTGTGAATAGCCTCATTACTAACCATACAGCACGTGCCTCGATATGCAAAGTCACACAGATGAAATTATTCGAAGTGCTGCGATATACGAGGTTAAGAGAATTCGTATATTTGATTAATCGCTGCTCGTATAATGTCAACTTAAGTATTGCAAAGGCTTTAGTTTCTCAAAGGCTCCAGTCGTCTCCTTTCTCAAATCCAACTCCGATTTCTCTAAAGGAAGTCTCAAGTTTTCCCTCTTTGTGCATCACTTCCGGCTCCAGCAACCCCATCAACTCCGCAAATTTATCGTCTACTCCCCTCGCTTCCTCTACACTTCCTGCGATAATCTCCTTTACTCCTACACTCAAATTCCCAATCGTTCCACCCTCCATACACGCCGCATCCCATTTATTCTCCCCTCGATTCCATCTCCAATTACCATCCAACGCCCACCTCATATCCCCCTCCACATCCATGAAAGTCCTCTTCCCCTCATCATCACTCTTCTTCCTCACCAACCCCCCATTAAACCACAGCAAGTCCCCCTTCTCGTCCACGTGCGCAATAGCACTCCCACAAACATCCTCCCTCCTTATCCCATCCGTCACATTCCATACATGCCCCCCAATGATCCCCCCATAATTCTCAGCAAAACTATATTCCACCCCACTCAACTCCATACCCAACCAATAAGTTTCCTTATCCCCATGCGTATTGCGATACGTAATTATTTCTCTCACTACATATGTATTCTGCCAACACGCATGCAATAATCCCATAAGAACTCCCAATCTGCTCTTATCCAACACCACCACGCCAGAATCCTGCTCTTGTCCAAAATTTTCATTCATCACTCGAGATTTGCGAAATGTATCGCTGGGGGTATGATCTTTCATTTGCCAACGCCAGAATTCATGACGATATCTATATAGATTTTTCCCAACCAGTCTATCATGGAAGAATAAAGTTCCTGATTCCGCATATGCAGCATGCGTGTCCAAGATGATTTCTGGAGGCTGTAGAAATATAGCATCAGAGTCGACTAAAATCACCTGTTCAAAGGTTGATGCTAGGAGTGCAAATGGTTTGATGGCCCATCTACCCAATCCATCTGATAATTGCAGTGTTGTGTCATCCAAGATTTTTGTTAAATCCAAGAATTCGATTGCCCCGATAGTGTGAGTGTCAAAAAGAGATAGAAGAGCTGAGCGATATTGAGGTGGAAGATCCGAATTGCCGGCGTAGATTATTTGTATAGGTAATGTTGATTTGAGAATGGAACGGAGGTTGAGAACTAGATGACATGTATAGCGGAATGTTTTTATGCCTGTAGGTATGACGATCCCACGGGAGCCGGGCACAAATGATTTTCTGAGGTTGATGAAGGAGGTGGGATTTTGGTTTGGCAATTCAGTTGCTCCTTGTATGAAAGGGAAAAGAGAGGTGATGGTCTTCTCTACTAGTGCTTCGTACTCCACAAATGCCTTGGTAGTGATTGGATTACCCTTCACATCGATTTGCATCAACCATCTTGTGAGTATTTGGATTCTTCTTCCCATCTCTGCAAATTCATCTTCAGAAACAGGTACTTTTATGAAATGATGAGCGACAAGAGAATTCTCCTGGATTTCATATTCCGTGATAGGTTTTAAAGTCGATTCAAACCCCACGTGGCCGAGAAATGATGTCGATTTACATGTCCACAAGATACCAATTATGCAAAGTAAAATCAGAGCCTTGATATTGAAGTCGTTGTATCGGACTTGACGTGGTATTCGAAGTCTCATGATCGTTCTGGGTAAGGAGAGACTTGATAACATTCTCTCCGTTGTTCTAGTGCACCTCTCGCCAAGATACGAATGCACATTCCAAAAATTGGTGCCAGCTATGAATCCCTACGAAATTTGGCTTGAATTACTAAACTAAGCCTTCTTTCAACAATTGATGTACTTAAATCAAAATAATGCGTGCTTGCCCAGGAAATGATGGTGATGGAGAAGCGATATATCAGTTGGCACTGGCTCCGCAAGGAACGTAACTCTAATTGCCTAAAAGCGGCATATCAAACAATCCAAACGATTGTATGAATCATGATTGGGAAGCTCTGGAAACTTTTGAAGTCGAAAGTACCAACATAGACACTACAGCATCAAAATGTTGAATTTTCCCTTGTCGTTGGAAGATACTTTGGACTTACGCGTCTAGGCCTTGGAGTGAAAATGAATCTTAACCTTATTGGGAAAATATTCAAGGGTTGCTGTGGAGATATTTATGGGCCAAGAGGACGCAAAGAAAGTCGTAAAGTGTTTCGAGGACTGATTTATTAAGCTTACCTAGGTACAAAGAATTCTGAGATTCTTGACTTGGATATGGGAAAGCGTGTAGCTGCCAAGTCAATGCCATGTAAAAACATTCAAGCGCGATAGATATATGAAGTAGATTTCGAGAATGGGAAGAAGTGAAAGTACATCGCGAACTTTGCCGCCCAATTAAAATACGGTGTAGCAAAAGTGGGTATCGACTTCTTGTGGGATACACCTTGATGAGCTACCGTGATACCTTGATGGGCTGTAATTTTCTTAACTGATGTGAAGCTGGAGTAACGATGTGTATATTGGCAAACAAGCTTGCTCCGTATCACAGGATAAGTACTTCACAGTAAATCAAACAAGGGGCACAGATCGCGTGGTAGTGAGACGGCTTTAGGACGGGTGACGACAGGAAAGCCAACAGCTTCCTGAGCATTGCCGACATCTCTTTACTTCACGGGGCGTAGCCATGTAAATACACCTATCTAATGGTTAGCAATTCATTAGAATTACCAAGGATGTTTTTTATTCGGAATGTTCTACTCAATAGTCGACCTCGAGAGTATCTTCGACACTCTATATAGTCGGTGATCAATATACCGTTAGCCATTTTACATCTGTCGTCTAAAAAGTTTGTTTACCACTCTCCATTTGCCACTCTTCACCGACCTATATAATCCCCACTTTGAGCGATTTCGACAGAACTTTAGCGAATCATAACATCGTTTTCTTATCATCGATCAAAGCTAAACTCATTGAAGTAACTACTGCTTCCTTCCTTCCAAGCTGATTCGTCTATTATGGCGGAGACCTGCATAAATGAGTCTAGTCAGGAACCGTTAGACGTTTGTAAGCCCAGCCAGCCGCCAGTTGCCAGCCAATCAATAGACTCGCATTCCCCACAAATCTG